ACTAGGAGGACTCTTAGACATCGACTGAGCTCGACTCTTGACTACAAAAATGGGGCGCTAAAAATAATTTATTCTCGAAGTGGGCAGTAGACTAAATAAGTTTGGGAACCACTGCTCTTGATTATACTTAACCAGGTGCTCTACCCTTGTCGTCACTTGATTTTGTATTCACAACTTTTCAGATGACTTAAATATCATCACTCTATAAAGTTGGTTTGGAAGCCACGATAGCTCGTGATCCGGGGAACGCGGGTTCGGTCCCCGCCGCCGCTCGACTATTGTGGTGAGCTCACTCGTGACACAAGCATATTTAGCTTAGTACGAGGGGCTAACGGGAGTATTAGTAATTTGTGTAATAACAAATTACTAATAATCTTAAAAAAAAAAAGAATTCTCTATGAACAAGAGATTCCCGTCCTATTATGCGCCTACAGACCTCCGAGATATGGGATGGGGATGCCAAATTTTACTGTGTTGCTTACTGAAGGCCTTTTTCCCTGAGTTTTGTTGGGAAAATCAAGCTTGTTTTAGGGATTAGAGAAATAAGGATTGGAGATCAATTGAGGGCACCGATGATCACATTCTTTGATGTTCTACTCTTTTTATACAATTTTCAAATTAAGGAACATACCTACTAGCTCTGCTATTTTCCTGATGATTTATCTTCATTTGAGCTTTAAGTAGTCTTTCTTCATTAAAATAACATAGAATCGTATCTTAAACTCAATGTTCAGGTGATATTTACGTTATTTTTCTAAAAAAATATAGTATGATGAGAGAATAAATATTAAAATCTTTCTTTAGTCTAGTACTTATCCGGGATACAGTAACCTGTAACACTAGTACAAATTAATAAGGTATAGAAAAACAGCCTCAACGTTTAAAATAGAGGTAGGTACCTACCTAGTTTCTTCGTCAATTTTCTAAAAAAAAATAGACAGGTATAGTTTTCGTAGCTGAAATTATGAAAATCAATTTAATGTAAAGTGCCCTTAAAAAGTGCCAGTAAAGGGCTACCTTTTTTTTTATTTACTACATTTTAATTTTTAACGTTCATAAGAGCCACTAGTGGTCTAAATTGAATAAAATATTTTTGATTTTGGTTTTGAAGGGAAATGTGGGTAATTGGGTTTTGAACCCTGGCAACCCAGATTAAATGCTTCGTCAGTGCCGAGGGGTCGCTCGGCTAAGGCAGCCGAGTGACCCCCTACGGGGGGGTCCCTTACAGCTGAAATTTTTAGACCCCATCGCGGTGTTTAGTGCCCACTATTTTTAAAAGATGTTTTTCATATATCGCCAGTTATTTTAAAAGTGTGTGTTGCCACATTTGGGATTTAAATAATTGCGCGGTCAATGGATCAGTGGTAAAATGGTGAAATAAATTACAATGTTCAAAAAAGCGTTATAATTTGTTGCAACACTCAACACTGGATTTAACACTCATACTTCAGAAAATTTTAAGATGCGAATTGGTAATTGACGTGTCCTACCCTATGGGTTTTCTCTATGCAACTGCTGCTTAAATATAAACCATACTACACAAAAGAAGGGGGGTTGAAAAGGAACTGACCTTAAGGTCATAATATTGTTTATGGAGCAAGGTTAACCCTGCTCTATAGAAACGCCAGGGGTTTTCAAAATTATAGGGTAAGTAAAAGAAAAAAATAAAATGCATTATCTTATACCAAAGTTAGTTTCAGTAAGCCTTTCATTACATTTCAATGGCTGATGATCCTCTTAATACCTATCAGTAATCTGCAGCAGCTGCTGCATCAAAATCAATTCAGTCATCAGTCTGTCAAAAAAGTAGGAACATTAGAATGCTTTCTTAATTACTCATCATACTTCATACTTGATTTCTACATATACTGTTCCCGCGACTTCCCGCGTGAAAATAGTTTGAATAATTTCCCGCTTTTTTTTTATTTACTGCTCCGCCTATTGGCTGTAAGGTAATCTCCAACACAAAAAGATTTTTTCAGAATCAGAATCAGAATTTTTATTATGTAAAAACATGGTAGGTATGTAAAGATGTTACAGAATTCAGTAGTGCACATATTGTTTCGCCATTACAAAAAGCATGAAAAAAATCATCATTCATTCAAATCGAACCACTACTTCCTGAGATTCGCGTGTTCAACCAAGCTAACAAAGTCTTCAGCTTTATAATATTAGTGTAGATATTTTCAAGAAAAATATCTCTTCTAATATAAATGACACAAAGCAAACACTAGGTATATCAGCAAAAAGCTGTATCAGTAAAACTATTCTTGTAACAGACCTTTATACGTGGTACCATGACACATTTTCTATACGACGTCCTTTTACTTCTAATAGGCGAAGACAAATGCACTGGAGTGTGTGTGCTTATCAGTCACAGTATAATAAATACAGTAAGCCCACTGGCACGAAAGTACCTATTGTTGTCTAATTATGCTTAGTCTTTTGTCCAGGGATATTATTTATGAATATTTTATTTATTTTTGTGACAGATAAATTATCTTTCCTTTATTTAAATAAGTCACAGTGCTACTATCAAAATAAATCCCACATGTACCACAAAATTCCTTTTCCTGTTAAAATACGTTTCACTTCCTCGCGTCAAAAGAGTTGACAACAGATCACGAACGGTGTTGGAGTCAAACTGACAATTCGAGGGTAGCTAATTAGAAGTCACATACGTCACTGCTGTGTGAATCCACTCCTAAAACAAGCAGGTACTTTTTTTTACTGATGGGGTTCATTAATACTAAGTTCTACGTAGTTAGTATTTATTCTGTGGTTACTATTATACATAATATACCTACTGACACTTGAGCAAAACTCTCTTGTTCATTGTGAATAAACATTTAATTAAAAGGGTCATCTGAGGTCAGCAGCCCTTAAAGAGCCTTAATGAGTGACAAGTAATGTTAAAAATAAAAATGTGTTTATTGCCCTCGAACCTTAATACATAGGTACAGGAAGTTACATTCACAACATATTATGTTATAAATAAAAAATATATTATTGGCCATCCAAGGCCGCCAGCCCTTTAAGCTTACTGAGTGTACCTCCACTGTGGCGCCGACTACAAGCGCCCTTGTTGCGTCCATTATGAATTCATGTGCAAAGTGATATGACAGCTCAGACATTATCCAGCTCTAAAAATCCACACGTAACCTATTATTGTCAAGTGGAACAAAGATGTTATTTTCCAACGACAACCCTTCACATTTACATTTTAAATTTTCTGTTGTTTACTGCTTTCAAGCAGTAGACAATGTTCGGAACGTTATGAAATTCTGGTGCAATGATGAAAATTAGGGGCACTAGTATCAAGACTGTATTATTTAACTTCGGTAAAGCGGCAAATGCTTAAATGAAAATTTATACGAGTAAATGGTTTTGCCGGCCAGTTTTAATCATCAGTATTTTAATTACCTATGCGACACTAACTGAGTACTTATAGTTTTTTTATCATAAAATTTGTTTTATGAAATTAGAGACACTCCTAGTACTTACCAATAGGTAAGTACCTTAATGAAAAAGGGCTACTATAAAGTCGATGATTATTTAAAAGATAAAAATGTTTGGGATACGTTACTGCCTAGCTCGCATAAATATTTATAACTTTGTACATTTTAAAGCATGTAAACCTTTGAAAAAGAGGCTGACAATAGTGACTGAGTTTCTTGCGCTGCTTCTTCTCAGCACTGGCCCATTTATTGTCCTGAAGCAGTGGTAGGGTTAATACTGGGACGTGTAAAAGTGCTTTTTTTAAGCCTATTTNTTTCTCAATTCCGTGATTCATTTTCTCAATTCGGTGCTCTCTCAATTCGGTGTTTAACTTTTCTCATAAACCACTTCACAATATTTAGTGACAATGCTATTTTTACATTCAGAATGGAGTAAAATTTATTTTTTTGTATTGAAACTACTTCAAAAACTAAATATAAATTTTAGCACCGAATTGAGAAAAAATACGCCGTGCTGTAGAAATGCCCATTAGTGTTTTTCAATCTGTGGGTCATGACGGGAAAAAAAAGCTAACGGTTGGGGGGTCTACAAATTTTTTTTCATACTAGGGGGGTCGTATCATGAAAATGGTTGAAAAACACTGGCCTAGATTATGTTCAACAATATTACCTACATCTGAAGATCCCAAACGCCCCTCCTGCAACTTACCACAGCAAGGGAAGTTATGCCTTAGAACTTTAACTGTACCCTACTTACCTATTCCTATTATACTCTTAATTTATGGTTTTTCATTGAATCGCCTTTCTAATTTTAACCGTTAATTTAAAAGCTGATTTGGATACTGATTAACTTTAAAAAAAAATAAAACCGACTTCAAATGCTGAACACAAAAAAAAAACAAAAATTAAAAATATTGCTTATAAAAAAGATCAACCCCAATTTTCCACGCTTGGGGGTTGTTTTTCTATTATTAAATTTAAATGGGACCACCCTTGAGGTATTACCTATACGCCGAAAAAAGATTTGTTCAAATCGGTTCATAATTGGCGGAGTTATCGCGTTACAAACATAGAAAAAAAAAAACATACGGGTCGAATTGAGAACCTCCTCCTTTTTTGAAGTCGGTTGAAAACTAACAAGTAGCTACAACAACCCTATCGAGTTAACTGTGCACCTCGCTGGAATGCGACTCCCTCGTACCAGAGCGTTGATGTGACGTCACGACTACCAGGTACGCAGAACTAGACCTGATTACTGTGAAACTGTGAAGTCTCACGTCATTATTGATCCTTAAAATTAAGACTAGTGCCTGATTTCACCATCAATCCCTATTTTTTAAGTGACCCCTATGGTCAGTAGCGGCGTAAGGGGGGGGCCGTGGGGGCGGTCCGCCCCGGGTGCCAAGCATCAGGGGGTGACAAAGTCGCGCAGATTAGTACTCACTGACGCATCTGCATGGCAAGGACGGTCGTGATGTCATGACAGGGTGGGGGGCATTTTGTTTTCACAGGGGTCACTTAAAAATTAGGGATTGATGGTGAAAACAGGCAAGGTCTATAAAAATATTTTCAAACTTACCATAGAAACCACGAGAATCAAATAAATCGTCGGTGTAGACCAGTGCGTGGCGTTCTCGATGGCGACCACTCCCATCACCCAGTTGATAGCGAAGAACGGTTCCAGCACTAAGCAGAGGTTCAGGTAAGTCTTCAGTTCGTTGCCCTCGGTGTTCCAGCTCCATTTCCAAGAGAGGTTGTCCATGTATAGCATGTTTAGGAGACCCTTGTCTTGTATAGCCTTGGCGTGGGCGGACTGGGAACAGGATTAAAGTGTCAGTTTTTGCATGATTGTGGTAGGGATTTTATGAATTAGAAATGGAAAAAGACTTTTTATGTGGGTCGTAGATTCAGCGTTCAATATAGCCAGAAGTAGGTATTTCCGAAATAATGTATTAAGTAAAACAATTTGTTGTTTATTTTGGTGGTAACTTGTGTGATCTTTTAAAATCTTAAGCCAGTTTTGTAAGACGATGGAATCAGCGTTAAAGTACCTACCTACTTAAGAAAAATATTACATTTTTTTAAATTATTTTTTTATTTTATAAAAGGTTATTAATAATTTGTTATTACACAAATTACTAATACTCCCGTTAGCCCCTCGTACTAAGCTAAATATACTTGTGTCACGAGTGAGCTCACCACTATAGTCGAGCGGCGGCGGCGGCGGGGACCGAACCCGCGTTCCCCGGATCACGAGTCGGCCAGTCCGACCCCTTCACCGTTCGGCTATCGTGGCTTCCGAATGTTTTTAACATCCTGTATTATACGTAGGTTTGCTCTCGTCTTAAAAACTACTAAAACGGTAGAAAATGTTGATGATGGCAACACTTACTTCATTTACGCCGTCTCCGTTCCCGTCGTTTTCATGGCCATTGTTGCCGTATTGGTCATCTTCGTAATTGTATTCCCGATCTAGCGTATCCGAGCTATCTGTGTTCTTCCTGCTACTGCCTGGAGTGTAAATATCCAGGGTATCAACACTTCCATTTCTATTATCAATAACAGTCTCCATGGGCTCATTTTTAGGCCAATTAGCTATGTGGTGGTCAACAAGCTCCTGTATTTTGGCCGTCAACATCTCAGCTTGCTTCTTATTCACGCTCTGAAGTCCTAGAATGATGATCGCAGTGTTGATCAGGATTAGGATCATAGCTGGCACCATGAAACCCATCACCATTCCTTTTTCGATGGACATCCAGCAGTAGTGCTTGATTTCGTAATGCTCCATTGATAAGGCGTAGTTGAACTAAAATTAGATAAGTAGGTACATTTAAAATCCGTCTCCTTTATCTTGGTTTAGGCACTCAAGTCTGCCCCTCAACAATTTATAATGATAGTTAAAGTTCCAAAATAGCTTTGTTCCGACGCTTTTTAGATGTAAATTATTTTGCTCGGTGTAACGCTTTCTAAATACAATCGTCACTTATCTAAGAGGGGCTGGAATTTATAAATAATGACTTACCATGACAACCAATGCGGGTACTCCATAGGCCAGTAAATAGTTGTATTTCAGCGGCAGAAGAGTGTCACAAGTGCAGTACTCGGCTACAGCTGCTGCTAAAGCGACGATCCACATCGCACACGATACGTGCGTGTAGTGAAGCAGTAGAGCGATCCTTTCGCATTGTGATGGGGATGAGACGCCCTAACACAAAAGTATAGCTGGTTATTACCTATAGTGAAAACAATTACCTAATTATACCTAACTAGGTAGGGTACCTACAAATTAAAATGGTATGGTTGGTGGTGGTTTTCCTTGAAATATGTTTTTCAACGGCTTTCATCCCAAGATCGAGAAATGGCTAAGTACTGTTTGAACTAGTTAATGCTGTGGAAATCCCTCCCCGTCTCAGGGGAAGATATTTTTACGTAGGTGTAGCTGGGTTCTTTATGCTTCTTCCTACTAAAATTGCGTGCTCTAGCGATGCTTTATTTCTATGATTTCCTTATAAAAAGTTAGTTTCAATAGCGGACCAATTCATTCAGTAGCCTGGCTTGTTTCTTATAGGATTTACAGGGGGCCTGTCTATCCTGACCTTTTACGCCAATAATGATGATGCATTGTCATGATTTGAGTTAAAATCTGTTTAAAATAGGTACTCACCACCACAGCCTGTATGTAAATCAGCGTGCAAGCTATCAGGCAGCAGCACAGGTTGATGTTAATCGGGTAAAGCTTGCTGCTGCGTCTGAACTCCGCCGCGTACTCGCTCCACATCAGCCACATTACTGCTGAGATGAGCAGGATGATGGCGATGCCGCTCGTTATGAAGATCTGTTGAGGAATTCATTCTTTGAGAGTCTTGAATATCCGTGGTTTGGTATAAATCTGCGTGATCTGGCAGAAGTGTGGGTTTTGATTTAGTTCACGTTAAACGTTTTGGACATGATTGTGGGTCGAAAAAAACGAACGAGCTAAATATAGGCGACAGTAATATCTCAACGGTTCGGTGTCGGAGTTTGACCCTCGTCATCTACTGGACTATTGTGGTTGATGAAGTCTAATGATTTAGAGCTGCTCAGTATGGCTTGGAATGGGCTTTCTATCTCGGATTATTAAAGGTGGAATTCAGTGTTGCGGCTTAGTGTATCTAGGTACGTAATTTCCCCCATAGTGATCATTGGGCAGACCAGAAAGTTAGTTGGATTTATGCGCAATAACTAGATTACTAGATGATATTAAAAATTAGTAATCAAATAGCAAAAAAAAATGTGGGAAACTACTTACCAATATCATCCATTCGTTCCTAACGCCATGGCAACTATTGAACCCGTACAGGTAGGTCACGCTGTCGATGATGTTATGCTCGTTGAGGTCCGCGTCAGCCAGCGAGTCATCAGGCAAGTCCACTTCTGCCTCCGCTTGCTTAGTTTCGGTCTTGCTCACTGGGAGATACAGTATATTATTAATTCATGAGATAGAGCGAACAAAATCTATGATATAGATTGATAAATGAAGCAACGACTTGTTTAGATAAAAAAATTAAACAAAAAAGAAACCTTCTTTTTTTGTTATCTAAATTCACCTTGGTTACTCCGGGAAACGAATTCGGGGTTTGGGTACAGTGGCGGATTATCATCATAAATGGAAGACGTAAAATTGGAGACCACTCCACNTACTCCACCATATTCAGAGTCGTACGACGTAATATCATAGTCGGGCTTATCATCCGCTCGGGGATATGTTGTCTTATGGTACTTCACAGCAACAGGCTGAAAAGACCTATACGAAGACTTCTGGTTCTTGAAAAAGGCATCGTCAACACTCGAACGACGTAAATGGTGCAAACTTCTATTTTGCTGAAAACCTGTAAAGGATACTATTTTTAGGAGTAGTACACCCCGCTCTTAACTTATATTCGAATAACTTTTCACTTACCACTAGACTCTACAGTAAAATATTTTTCTTCAATAAGAATAATAAAAAGTACAGTTTTAAAAAACGTAGAGCACATCTTGCTGGGGTATTTTACGATTGATATTTTGGTAATTACTTCACATTTTGTCGAAAAATATACAACTCAACACAATCAGTTTGTTTGTTTTATTTCCATTCGCATGAAAATCACATTTCGCACTTTCCGCGGAAAATCAATAAGGTAGTATGCGTTCCATTTCAAGCAGGTAACGATGATATAAATCATGCTCTGTGATATGAATAACAAGTATACTGTACTCATCATATTATTAGAATTTTAAGTCGTTAATTCCCTTATGTTTAATGTTCACGTTTTTATTAAAAAAAACAAAAAACGAATACAAAAAACTTGTCTAAAAATCATGGTAGATTTTTATTTGAATTTGTGTCCTTGCAACACTGATACGGAAATGTCAAAAATATGCACTGACAGACAGCTGTCATGTTTTCTTGCATCAAGCCCAAAACGCAATAGTTTTTTGCAATGTAACCAAAAATAGATCCAAAATGAGTGCAATATTAAAATTTATCCGTGAAAACCACATATTGGCCCTCATAGAACAGACCATTGCCAAGAAAAAGTCCCGTTTGAGTCTGAACGCGTTCGAAATAACTGAAATTCCTGAACTTTTGTACACCTGTTTGGAAGTTGAACATTTGTATTTGCATAAAAACAAAATTACTAATGTGCCAGTGCAAATAATGCAGCTAGTGAACCTGACGACCTTGACTCTTGACTACAATAACATAAGTTCGCTGCCAGCCGAAATAGGGAACCTGAAAAACCTTGTGAATTTGAACATCAGTTACAATCCTTTGAAAGAGTTGATTCCTGAGATTGGTGAGCTGGAGAACCTGGAGGCTTTCTGGTGCAACAGGATAGGACTGCGGGAGATCCCGAAGGAGATCGGGAAGTTGGAGAAACTTGATACTTTTGGGGCAAGGGGAAATGAACTGAAAACTATTCCTGAAGAAATGACAAAATTGGCGAGATTACGGTAATGTATTTACCTACTTATTATGTACGATAACTGATTTCTTCGACACATATACTAACAGATAAACTTTGTATCGTTATGTCTTGGTAAAAATAAGTAATAATAAACAAACTTTTATCTCTGAATCATTGCCCTCTCGATTTTCTGTTTATCTTACTAGCTCAGTAGATAAAAGTAATTCAATACAAGTCTGTTGTGTGTGTTTACAGTTTGTTTACAATTACCTATTAGGATGGTTTCTCTATTGAATACTTTGTTTCATATTATTACTTGAAGGAATTTCTTGGTAAAAAACTTATAAAACTCATTTATTTCTGCAAATAGGCATAATAGACACAACACTAGCGGCGGGGGGGGGGCGGTCCGCCCCGGGTGCCAAGCATCAGGGGGTGACACAAGCCTCGCAGATTAGTACTCACTGGCGCATCTGCATCTGCGGTCTATGTCATGATACGGGGGGGATTGTCTTTCAATCTTCGAATCAGTAGGTAACCCCAATACTTAGGGTACCAGGGGTGCCTTAGGACTTATGACGGGGGGGAATCGCCCCGGGTGCCAACCCATGCTACGCCGCCACTGTAACACAACCTTATTCAAATTGTAATAAAGACGTGTTGTGAACTTTTAGGCTTGTTGGGTGAAAACTTTATTTGATGCTGACTGTATACATGACATTATTAGTTAACATTATTTATATGCCGGAACCAGGTGGCTGACTTTAGAAAACAACCACATAGAGAGCCTACCCTCCGGCCTGGAACGCCTAGAAGTGTTGGTCCACTGCAACCTACGTAACAACCGACTGAAAGAGTTCCCGAAGGACCTGCTCAAATGTACGGAGCTTATGTACTTGCAGCTTAATAATAACCAGGTAAGACAAGTTTAGGACTGTTAACCTAAAGCTATTTCATTTGATAAGTCTGGGACTATTCACTATGCTAATGCTCTATGCGAATGCTCTACTGTCATATCATCAAAAACTTGTGTAATTAATGGGCTATCTATACATCAATTGGTCATTTCAATGATATTTTCCTATAATCAGATATGTATTTCAAAGCAAGATTATACAAGCTTTACCAAACTAACAATGAACACAGTTAGAAAATGCATTGCTATTGTTTTTGTTTATTGTATGAATATGACTGTGCTGGTATTAAAATGAATAACTACTTCCTTGTGTTTATTCTTTATTTAGACAACAATACTTTCTTAAATGTACCTACCTATTTCAGCAAAAACAGTGACATAGGTAAACATATTTTAAGCCTACAATTCAACAATATCACAATCACTCAGTTTTGATCCTTTGCTTCTTACAGATATCCAGCCTCCCAGAGGATTTCGACACCAGTCATCTGACAGGTCTGGAAATGATTGACCTACGGCTGAATCCCATCTGTGAACTAGCCCACCCAGTAAGTATTCTTTTAGGTATCCTTCCGTTTGGCCAAATTACTTTTCACCAAATTTCACTTCGCGAACAACTTATCGCCAAAGTTTCATTTCCCAAATTAACTTTAAGCAACTGCACTTTTCGCAATTAATTCATTTGGTCAAATTATCATTTGGCAAAATTTTACTTGGCAAATGTTTATTTAGCAAATGTTTTATTTTGCCAAATATTATATCCCAAATAATTGGTTTGGTCAAATTGACACTTCACATACTTACCTACCGTTATCCATGATCATGGTTTTCACAAGATTTTTATGTAAAACAAAGAGATTGCACAAAATAGTATGGTTGCAGAAAGTAGGTATTGCAGAAAATAGTGGGTTAGGTTAGGTTAGAACAGTGACCATTAACGCGCGAAGGCGAGCGAACGGAGCGAGCGTGCCGCGGCAGCGGCCGCCGAGCGCTAGAATCACCTCTATTGTTGATGAATCATTTGGAAATTTCAATAAAAAGAATGATATATGAAAATTTATTTAAAACAAAATATTAACTACCCTAAACAAAATAATAACCACAAGCTAATTTGTATTCCATTCTGTGCACCAATCAAATTATTATGTTATAATTTTTTTTATTTTAATAAGAAATATTTTGGGAAACGTAAGTTTTGCCAAATGAAACATTTGGCAAAACATACTTTGCCAAACAATAATTTGGTAAACAATAATATGCCAAAAACGACATTTGCGAATTAAAAATTTGCAATAAGTTGTTTTGCCAAATAAAAATTTGCCAAACGAAAATTTGCGAAACGTTGTTTGCGATGTGATAATTTGGGAAACGTTTTTTGGCCAAACATTAGTAATCCATTTTTTTTTGTCCTCTTACCTGGTTATTTTGACTAAGGATTATTCATAATGAGCATATCGATGGCTCCTACGTATACTGGCGTAAGTGAAAAAAGTAAATTTTACAGGAGAGCCATTTTAGTGGCCAGAACCATATTTTTGGGTCATATCTTCTGACCTACTAAAACGAATTTAATGAAATTTCACATTTAGCCTTAACATGTAATGCTTTTGCTACTGCTGTTATCAATTTTTATATTTTTCTTATATATTTTGAGATTTTACGCATTGCCCTTTTACGTCGGCATATTTCTATAATTTCATGTATATTGTTCAACGTAAAGAGACTGAAATGACAACGTAAATATAATATTTTAAGCGATTACTCTCTTTATTTATGCATGTAATTATTTTAATTGTTATCATGTGCTATATCAATAATAAATCAGTTAGAAAAAGTCGTTTAATGTACCGTTTTACGTTTTAACGCAAATACGCCCATATACTGTGCTCGAGATTTAGTTAGGTCTTTTAACATAATGTGTCATATTTTTAAAAAATATAAATAACTTGAAAAAATCGAATTGCCTAAGGCGGGAATTGAACCCACGATGCCTTAGGCAGTTCGATTTTTTCAAGTTATTTATAATTTTCAAATTAGTTTGAGATGCGACTCTTAACGCTAAAAATTAAATAACTATATAATGTGTCATAATTTATAAATAAAACAATTTGCTAAATATTTTCATGGCTTTATTTAAGATTTGGATTATAAAAAATATATGTTTATGTAAGCAACTACTCGTATAGATTGACGAATCGTATGATTGGGCTTTATACGTGGCGTAGTTTTGCACATACGCCTATTTGCCTAAAATTTTATTTTGTATCTAATGGAAAAAAAATTTTTTTTTCTTACTGATGTTATAGATTAGAGCAAAGTGAAATCATTGCTTAAATAATTGGAAAAAGGCGTAAGCGGCAGTTTCGCCCTTATACGTAGGAGCCATCGATATCCCAGTATCTGACATCCCCTAAAACAAAGCCTATCATTCTCCGTCAGGAGCACCCTCTAGTCCGCTATCAAGAGGAGCTGCCCGCTTCGCCGAGCGCGCTAGCGGAGCTCTCCGCTCAGGCCTCCGCTAGCAGCCGCCACGGTGCGCAGGCTTTGGCTCTTAACGCCACGGCGCTCCGCTTGCCGGCTGTCCCCGCGCCGCGTCCGCACCAACAGGACCCCAGGATCATAGGTGAGCATACCAGGATCACACTCTAGAACTTCGTTCGTTCGTTTCAGCCGAAAGACGTCCACTGCTGGACAAAGGCCTCCCCCAAGGATTTCCACAAAGACCGGTCCTGCGCCGCTCGCATCCAGGCACCTCCCGCGACCTTCACCAGATCGTCGGTTCACCTAGTGGGAGGCCTGCCCACGCTACGTCTTCCGGCTCGTGGTCGCCATTCGAGAACTTTTCTGCCATTCATTTATATGACCATGTTAACATGGGCTAGTGTCGGCTCATATACCCATTTACCTAACACCCTGTAGATGTCGGTGCCTACAAGAGACAGGACTAAATTTTAAATAAACAACTTGAAAAAATCGAACTGCCTAAGGCGGGATTCGAACCCACGACCTATCGCTTGCCGGGCAACCCTAATAGCTAAGACATTTTAATTACAAGAGGACGTAAAGAAATCACTAGAACCCCGCCTTCTAGAAGTTGCTGCCTAGGTATTAAATAGAACACCCAAACCTAGACCACCAGGTCATCTGCCGGGATTACAGGGTCACAGGTGCGTCGTATCTCCAGGAATACATAATCAGGTGTATGACGGATATTAATTTCAGGATCACCCTTCCTTCAGCAAATTAAGCAGGCTCAGCCTAACCTGAATCAGGGGAAAATATGACATCTATACCAGTTAGTTAAGCCCAGTAATTATGAGGAATCCCGAACACTCCTGACTTTAATTTGTGTTTCCTCAGTCTCATTTTTTTTTTCTCATCCCACCAGAGATAGACCTCGACGCGTCATCGGTGGAGTCGTCCGAAGATTGGGAGAACAGTGTGAACAGTTCCGAACTGGATGTGCAGTACCAGAGCGACGAGGAACGCGCTGAGAATGAGGTGAGTCTTTAACCTATAACGTTAGGACTATCATCATCATCTTCCTTTCAGCCATAGGACGTCCATTGGTTTCTACCCAGCCGGGCTAAAATGCGCGCCGTGATAAAATCTTATCGATAATTTTAGACGACAAATGTATGGGCTTATCGCGTTAAATCTATAAAATGGCGTGATAAACGCTTATCGCGAGCATCCTAAGCCGTCTGAAGGACAATTATCATCATTATCATCATCTTCCTTTTAGTCACAGGACATCAAATGGTATCTACCCTGATGGCAGAAGTTAGGGCTATCATCAACCGTTGCCACAGAATATCTACAGACTGCGGAACATAGGCCTCCCCTAATGATTTCCAGTTTTTGATCATCATTTTCTTACAACCCTTTATCATCATCTAATCGTTTCATGGCTGGGTTTGCCAGCACGTGGCCTCCATTCCGGACCGTTGCTTCCCCATCGGCCGTCAGTTCTATCAGAGTAAATACAAATGAGTAGGTCATCTTCATAGAAACGCACCGAGCGCGGTTTGTATGTGAGCGCGCCAATATACGTATGCGGCGCGCACGATTCGGCGCAACCACGACTGGCTCCCCGCTAATCTCCGCTAAATTTTGTCAGTGTGTGCGTGCGCGCCGCATACGTATTGGCGCGCTCATATACAAACCGCGCCCGTGCGTTTCTATGAAGATGACCTACTCATTTGTATTTACTCTGGTTCTATGCCATAACCAAAAATTCCAAGATACAATTAAAAAAAACACTTAAGTGTGTTTGGTTTGTGTTGTCATACACCCCAGTTGTGTCCTATCCCCGCCTTAATCTCCCCTCCCCTTGTCCCCTCCCCTTTCCAATCCAGCATGTTCCAACCTCCGGACGGCGTTGTAAACCCGCTCACGCAGATCGCGCAATTCTTTCAGGCGGTCGGCATGGTGTTGCCCGAACTATCGCGGTACGCGTCCACCGCCAGTTGAATTGACACCTTGCCGCCTTGACGCAACGACCACTTTCGCGTGACAGGTATATGGACTGACTTCGGACCTGATTGTCTATTCTTTGGTGATACTGGGAAACTTTGGGCAAGCCAATTTGAGCCTTATCAAGTTTGTGATAGGGATAGATTTGGCGTGCTCTTATTGTCTAGTATCGCCTGAGAATACAGGGTTATCCACATTCGCACGAACGCTTAAGAATATTTTGAAAAGCGTTAATTTCTGTCGATTTAATTTATTTTAGCTCTTTGTTGTTTATGAACTTTTAGCATTAAGTGCTTTATTTTAATGAATTAAAAAACTGTTGGAAGCGTTTTTTTATTGTTTGTTTAATCGTTCGTGCGAACTAGACCTTTATATTAATTAAGCATACGATTATACCTATCTCTTTTTCTTCTAAGTGAATTAAAAGAAACAGCTGCAAAATCAGCAATTAGCCTTTTCAACGCCAATGAAAGGAATACTTTCTGAAATTAGTGTTGCTATAATAATATGTCACTTTTAATTCACTTCAAAGAAAAATAGTCTTTGCTGTTATTTTGATACTTTCAATATTTTATTGAAAGAGTTTCAGGGCCTGTATTAATGTATGTTTAGACTTAGTTTTGTGTACTGTGTATGAACTATTGTATGTGTATAGGGTGACTGATTGTAGAAAGACATAACTGCAGTGGACCTACTTGACCAAAACATAATAGAGCAGCAGATTATTTAAATCAATTCCTTTTTATGCTGTTCATAATATAGTAGTAGCACGCGCTGTAGAAATCACTTTTTCAACCAGACACCCTGTATTGATGTAATATACTGCGGGAACTAAGTATAGTATAGCTCTCTAAAAAAAGGGAATAAATATTTTCTAAAAAAATACGCTTCTATGGCATATTTTGTAACGACCATCGGTTTTTAAGAGAATCAGGTTCCAATATTCCGCTATAAGTATCTTCAAATAAATACCAGCCAAAACCTTATTCTTACTTAATAAGCTTCAGTTTAAATTTTGAATCGCAAACAATCTTTTTTCCATCGTAGAAGGTGACTGTCGTCAATGAATTTAAAGTTTGGGTGAGAAGGTATATCCCATACCTTGACTGGTAAAATACATAAAGGTATATTAATATAAATTAATTAAACTATGTGACGTCCCTAGAACGTGTTAAGAGCCACTGTCTCAAACAAATACGCACGTTTACCACAAATCACGTTAAAATGTGATTACACGTGAAACTTTTCACACTTGTAATTAAGTTTCAGGGATAGCATGTAAAAAACTCTTTTTCAAAAAATGGTAATACAGCAACTTTTTGTATGGAACCAGCAAAGAAATATAAAAAAATGCACCATGCAATTTATAACATCTGAGTGGCCAATTAGTTTTTTTTTGTTCGATGCTGGTGCCATATTTTTTTTATATTTCAGCAACAGAATCAATAATACTTTACTTTCTTTAAAGCGGACAAGATTTTTTACATGTTATTCATTACTTAATTTTTTCTAAACAGTTTATTTGTCAATCGTACAAATGCAGCACAAAAAGGTCAACTCTTTTTTATGTAAAATTTCACTTTGGATGTGACTTTATTTTAGTATTACCTCTTTGGGATCTTTTTTGAGAAATCAATACTTGATCATGTAAATATGTAGTTGTATTTAAATCATTATTTCTCTATAAATATTTTGTCTATTTAGTTTTAGATGTTATACTGGGTGTTTTATTTTAAACGTTGAAAAAACGGTCTAAAGTTTTAATCCGGCCTAAATCAATGTAATCATTTATAAAGCGGACCAAATCAGCTATATTTGGATATTGGTTACATTCATCTAAAGGACAGTCGACAGCACAACGTGGCACAACAGATTATAGGTATATTTCTGTTGCAAAATAACTCTTATTTCAACTACTTATGATGACAAAATGCTTTATGTGCTGTCGCTGTATTTCTCAATCTTTGTATTTTTACTCATGATCATGAACACAATTTTATTCAATTCAAGCAATTATTAATTTAAAAAAGAGTATCAGGCGATTAATAAAAAATCCTGATGGGGATTTTAATTTAAAAAATAAAATATACGCCCGACGACGACTTTTGAAGTGGTTGGTGTAGGTACTAACTACAGTTGGGAGTAGAATTATACATAACGAATGATGTAATATCCAAAAAATGGTTTCAAAATTTTACAAATACGGACAAAATACCATAAAAGATAAAAAGTGTTCATAATTTTAAAAATAATCATGGCTTTTTCATTGTATACATTCATATCATAAAAAACACGCCCTATATGATAAGGGTTTGAACAAAAAAAAAGAACGGGAGGTTATAAAAACATAATAATGTTTCCAACTATTTTGAGACAAAGAAAAATCAAATCAAAATCTATTTTTTACTTGATTTGATTGGAAAGAGAAGGTTAATATCCTGTATGGTGATTGAGGGTGCTATTATGGAATATGGAAGTAAGAAAAGAAATTTAAATAACTAAAAAAAGCGTATAATCATTGCCAATGTAAGACTCCATTCATATCCTAATTATTATATTTAAAAAACAAGTAATTATGTTACTTACATTAATATAAAAAAAAATTAAAACTTCAAGATTAGGTAACCCCTACTTGTGTATATTAAATCATTTTTATACTCTGAATTGTACCTTATTAAATCGTAATAACCGTTATTTTAAATTAATCCTAAAAAGATGTATATTTTTTTTTTGTAAATATAACATTGATATCTTGTTATGTATTAATTGAACTTTAATAAATACCTGTCCATTTTCTGTAGATAATAAAAGATTAGAAAAAATGCTTTTAGTATTGTGTGTAAACACAAATTCCTTTTTACGCTATATACCAACTACCTAGGCGTCTTTTTCATGAAAAAAAAATCTACGCAGTTTAAACTAAAACAGCGTTTTGTCTTTTTTCAACTCGGCGAAATCAACATTAAACAAAAAAAGCTGTCTTTTTTTCAATTAGCTGAAGCGTTAAAGATTTTTTTATTTTATGAAGAAGACGATAAAATCTGTGTTCCCCAATAGATGAGTAAAAACTTCTTTTAATAAGAACATTTTACAATTTGCCACTACTAAATATTTACTGTCTACATGAATATTTACTGTTTTAAATATTTGCTCTAATATTTATGTATAAGACACAATAGTTTACTTAAATCAGTCTAAACGCAAACCTAGATAAAAGAGTACCAAAATACTTATTTTTACAAGAATAACAGCTGCCGATAATCGCAAAAACTCGATTTTGGATTATTTTGAGTTGTGCTACTTTTCATCTAGGTCAGTGTTTCAGATTGATGTCGATAAAATTACCGGTATAAATTGTAAGTTTTATTGTCTGATATATTTAATCGGTGTTATTAAGGTAAATACAATGTAACCCTTTACAAATAAACGTTGTTAGCATTCCGTAGAACTGTAGGTACGGGACTGTTCCCACCTCTCGTTCCCACCGCTGCAACTCCTGTGTAGCCAGGATCTACAGCTTGACCGCCAATAAAACCTAACCAGTGAAGGTCAAGTTTGTCCCGGGGGAAAGTTAAACTGTCATTGGACCCGCAATGAAATTAATCAGAAGAACATAGGAGGAGTTCGAAGTTAAGGTTCTATTTAAAGATGTAGGCATGATCTAAGGAACATTAACAACGTTTATTAGTGAAGTTATGCATGTTAATCAAATAAAATGTCTATAATCAAATACCAATTTTAATTGTAGTTGGAAAGGACTTTACACTCTTGATCGGTTTGGTATGTTTTTGCCAAAGAATCTCAAATAACGGCTTCTTTTATTATAATTAATAAACATGTATCGATCGTTGTTCTTTTATTTAGCAATTGTCCAGTTTTAGTTCGCGCCATTAATCGTCGATTCATAGACAACAATAAGATATTTTTTGTTTATGGTAATAATAATCCTTTTTAAGGTGGCAGCATAATAGTAATTTTTATGGGCTCCAATTCAAAACTGGACTTTACGAATTTGAGAAAAGGGTAAAAAATCTATTGGAGAGGGCAATTTTTTTTTCAATTACTTTTTTAGTATAACAAAATTGTACCTACTATGTTGTCGTAAACATATCATTTGTCAATCATTGTTTATAGAAAGGGTAATGGATGTGCAGGTATGATATTTTATCAATTTACTCATTGATAGTGTTGAATGTTTAATAAAAAACATGACAAATAATTAAAAATCTTGAAATATACACCTAAATAATATATTATTTAACATGAAACACTGTCAATATAGTCCCTAAAAGTTTGGTAATATATGACCAAAACCATGTAAAGGTTGTATATAATTAATATTGCTCATGTATAAGAATCTAAATGTAAAACAATAAACATTGGAAAAATATTTATGTCTTTCTTATTTTCTTCTATAAATAAGTTTCGGGACCTTGAATAAAACAAACTTCATTTTTAACTTACATTTAATCCCATATTAATGATATCACATTATTTCATTTAATGATTACTTCAGTTAATTGATACAATATCACTTTCAGAAATAAAGCATCTAAGTAGGTTCTTACTCTAATAATTAACAATCATATAAAGTTTAAAAAAGTAAAACAAAAACGGTCAAGTGCGTGTCGCACTCACGTATAGGGGTTCCGTAACATACTTTTCACTCTTTTATATATTTCTTACAGCACCAAAAGTCGATGAAATTAAATTAGGTAGGTCTGTTTAAAACAACACAAAACTATTTAAAAAAATCCTATGAGCTATGAGCGAGCTACGAGACGAGCTTTAAACTTCTTTCTTGAATTTGCTATTGATTTCAAATCGATAACACGTATAAAATATGGTGTTATCGATTTGAAAAAAATATTTATACAGACGCATTCTTTTCTTTCTATTTTAAGTACGGAACCCTAAAAATAACAACTTATAGGTAAAATAAATAAAACAAAACCACATGAAATTAAAATAAAAGTAACAAATAAATTATGACGTCATGGAATGTTGATTAAGGCACAAGTGAAAAAGGGCTGTTTAACAAAATCTCTCGTTTTGAAACCGAATCTGTAATCGATTTTCATTTATTTTAGATTTATTTTTCATAAGCGAATTGAAAATAAAATAGAAACAATGTCAAATTCGTTATTTTGAGCTAGCTAATAGCTTTTTAATTTCTAGATGCAGAATCGTCCCTAAACATTTAAATCCACAGAATTGACACCCAATAGATATTAATTTCTCACTGCCCATATTTAAGTATATGGGCAGTGAGATACTTAAATAAGTAGAATAAAGTCAGTTTTTTAAGTACTAGTAAATAAAACAGACTATCCACCCAAGTTATTCGCCTTGGGTCACTAAATAATGAATCTTATATTGACGGCATTTGGGCCTAGACTTGCTTGATGCTGCTTGACTGTTCTGCTCTGCCATTAACACCTTTAGGTATAGTGGTAGTATTCTAAAAATGTATAGCAGTTGCACAGAAACGTAACATAATATGATGAACTTTATTGCGAGTGAGTAAGGTTCAACGTTCCGTAGACTAAGAAGAATTTACGCGTCCTTCTTCGGTTCTTCGATTTTCTGCAGCTCTTCCAACAAGCTCTCGTCGTCGAAGAACTGAGAAGAATCTAGAAATAAAATTATTATTAGCATTAAGAACTGAGCAAAATTTTGTTTGACGACTGTAAGTGATTAACATTTAGTTTAAAATTAATTTAACAAAAATAAAACCACCAAAAAAAGTGCATGGAGAAAAAAATAATACCAATAATACTTTATTTAATTACAAGACTAAATACACTGTTAATCTCAGAATAAATCGTCAGTGTTGACATAAGTATTTCCCATACTGTTTCACTGTCAAGTTTGGTCGAATCGGGCATAAGACAAAATTAAATATGATTGATATTTCAGTCCTGTTTTTTTTAAAAAGCGGTTTATCTTTTGGGCAAATTACTATAATGTGCAGTTATCATCTTATCTCCATTAGAAGTCTTACCTTCTCTCTCAAGTTTGACTTTTCCCTCGAATCCAATTTTTTTCTTATCGTCTCCGCCATCTTCTGTCTTTATTGTATGACCGAGTTTGCCCTACAAAGAGAAGTAAATAAATAAACAATTCCATTTTAAGCAACAAATAAAAAGTATAAGTGTAAGTTTTCCAAACAATTGTAAAATAAAATAAATAAAAACCCGAGGCGTAGAACGTTACTAACTCAATTTGGCCAAAATCGGACTTGTGCCGCTATTGCATTCCGTGAGTGAAATGAATTAACAGTACTTGAGTAAGTAATTATTGACAAAAGAAATTTTTTGACTGCTGTCAGCTTTTAAGTCGAGTCCGCACTACGGCTAAACCGCCGAGGTTTTTAACTGCGTGATTTTATAACCAAGTAACACTAATGCTAGCATCCGCATTGCAGCTTTTTCCCTCCTTTGGCGGTTTACCGCTTGCGGGAAGAAACCGTAGTGCGGACTCGGCCTTATACAAATAGTGTAGCTTACACATACCTTGACGAAGTCTGGCAGTCCATCCTGCAGATGATACCAGCTCAAGATGAAGATCATGGACACCACGAAAAGGTTTGAACTTATTCCTGTAAAAAAGAACAAGAAAACATTTAATAGCTGACGCATAATAAACACTTGCGTGAAGAGCTCTATTTTAAGAATTTTTCTGGAGGACGTTATTTTGAACTTTATGTCCTTGACTTAAGATCAAAAATATTTTAACTTGCAAGACACTAGTGTGGGGGCTCTAAGAATCCTCCAAGCAGGACGTTAATTTGAACTCTATTGTCTTGTCTTCAGACCTCATATTAATGAGAACTTTTAAGTATCTGACGCTCAAAACACTAGCTGGCAGAACGTTGAATGTGAATGAAGAATGTTCACTAATTTTGTTTTTTAGCTTTCTGTATTCTCAGTTAAAAATAAAAAATACACGTGAAAGAATTATTTCGATACGTCAATAAGTTTCCAAGATAATGAATTTTAAAAGTGCGGGCGGCGGCCAGCCCGCCATTTTATGCGCGTGACGTCATATTACAGTGACTGGCTCATATTTGTATGGGTGGAATCTTGCAAGCTGAATTAAGACCCACTTCCGGACAACCGATTAAGCTGAAATTACGCAAACACATGTGATTTGGATGACCATGCAATATTATGATGACATGGAGCTGATCTGATGATGGAGCTGGAAGGTGGCCATAGGAACTCTATAATAAAACGACTTAAATCCATCGAGTTTGGGCTCGTTCGTTTTGTATTGATGAGTACTTTAATTCTATATAGTAATCAGGGTCTAATGATGGAGCTGGAAGGTAATTTGCAAAAAAACGACACAATCGCATCAAGTTTGTATTTGGTTCAATTTTAATTTCTGTGATGGGTCTGGGTGTTAATATGTATAATAAGTTTGTATTTACAAAAAAAAATGTATTTAAGTATGTTTATATCCGTTTTCTAGTGAGCGGACACTGTGAATGTATGTCACGCGGAGTCACGTGACCGTCGGCGGGACTCAATATTTAAGCGAACTTTGAATGCCTATAAAATCATAACTACTGGGTATTTTTGAATGAAATAAAAACTAATGTATTTGTAAATGTAAAAGCTTAACTGTAACATAGGTTTCAAGTGATTTTGCATACCTAGTAAGTTACTACTAGTAACATTCTCAATTATTATTGCCTTATCGTAGGATGCAAAAGTTATGACACTTTTTACTAATCAAAAGAAAAGACCCTGTAAGAATCCCTCCAATTGGACGTTATTTAGAATTTTGTTACCTACTTAGTCTTAAGATCTAATTTTGAAAATTATAATATTGATATAAGTGCGGGGTCTAAGAATCTCTCTAGAAAGACGTTATTTAGAACTTCATTGCCTTGACATAAGATCTGAAAAATAAAATCAAATGTCTTCACTTACCGACAACCGCAGACAGCTTGGGCCAGTGGAACATGAGATAGCGGAGTCCAGTAAAGTGCGCTTGTATGTGCAACTCACTGGCATACACCTGCGCGTGGCGCGACTGTAACTCGACGTACGCGTCTGTCACTGGCAGGCTCTGTGGCAGATACATGTTGATAAAGACAAGCTTTTCAAAAAACATGGTATGTAAACGCGGGCAATTAGGTAAGTAATAGAGTGCTAGTTTGTCACCTACAATAAGCCTTGTATTCGCTAGCTTGCAAAACGTAAGGTTTTGTTATGATAGCTAAGTTCTAATCTATATTATTATTAGTAACTAGTTTAATATTATCTGTAAAGAGGTCCTTCCTTGAAATAAACGTCTTATGCCCGTTTACACAATCAATCCGTATTTTTTAAGTGACCTATGGTAACACAACAGGAATTTTGTTTTCAAAAGGTCACTTTAAAATTAGGGATTGATGGTGAAAACGGGCCTTACATTACTTTTTCAGAGTTCTATGATTATTAATTAGTCACCTCTCATAATTTGGACCCTTATCACCGTGTATCACCCCTTATTTGGTCACATCTTTTTTACACCCTGTATAGAAGTAAGATAAAACTGTGCTTCTATTATTATTTCATGCTATACAAAATTGGCTTCTATTCTCAATTCCACACAGCTCAAATTCCCACCTGATCATCCTCGAATTCGCTGAACAGTTCCACCTGCAACTGCTGTTTCTCCTCGTTGACGCCAGATAGCAGTAGCGGCGCCATCGTCACGGTGCGCATTATTTGGTGCAGGATGGACCTGCGAGACATGGGGATACTTATGTGGTTGTGATAAGAGATATTTTACAATAAAACATATTATAGTTTATTGAGCTGTCGACTGTACATATAATAGTCGGCCGTTTGGTGTAGTGGTTCAGAACGGACTACTATGCCGAGAGGTCCCGGGTTCGATTCCTTGCCGGGCAGAAATTGAAATGATGAATTTTAATTTCTGTGACGGGTCTGGGTGTTACTATGTATAATATGTATGTATTTAAAAAAAAAAAAAAAAAAAGTGTATAAGTAGTATATCCGTTAAGCTAGCACCCATAACACAAGCATATTAATTGCTTACTTTGGGGCTAGATGGCGCTGTGTGAGATTGTCCAAAGATATTTATTATTATTTATTATATAGGCCAGTAGAATTAAACACAAAAATGAATCAAATCGGAAATAANTAATATGGTTGATATTTATTCAGTCCTCCTTTTTTTAAAAAGCGGTTTATCTTTTGGGCAAATTACTATAATGTGCAGTTATCATCTTATCTCCATTAGAAGTCTTACCTTCTCTCTCAAGTTTGACTTTTCCCTCGAATCCAAATTTTTTCTTATCGTCTCCGCCATCTTCTGTCTTTATTGTATGACCGAGTTTGCCCTACAAAGAGAAGTAAATAAATAAACAATTCCATTTTTAAGCAACAAATAAGTATAAAATCCCGAGGTTTAGACCGTTACTAACTCAATTTGGCCAAAATCGGACTTGTGCCGTTATTGCATTCCGTGAGTGAAATGAACTAACAGTGCTTCAAGTGCTTGAGTAGGTAATTTTTGGCAAAAGATTTTTTTTACTGCTGTCAGCTTTTAAGTCGAGTCCGCACTACGGCTAAACCGCCGAGGTTTTTAACTGCGTGTTTTTATAACCAAGTAACACTAATGCAAGCATCCGCATTGCGGCTTTTTCCCTCGTATACGTTTCAGGCGGTCGCGCGGTTTGGCGGTTTACCGCTTGCGGGAAGAAACCGTAGTGCGGACTCGGCCTTATACAAAAAGTGTAGCTTACACATACCTTGACGAAGTCTGGCAGTCCATCCTGCAGATGATACCAGCTCAAGATGAAGATCATGGACACCACGAAAAGATTTGAACTTATTCCTGTAAAAAAAAAACAAGAAAACATTTAATAATCGCTGGTGTGGGTGGCTCAAGAATTCCTTCTAGCAGCAAGTTATTTAGAATTTTATTGCCTTATCATAAAATAACAAAAGTCTAGAACAAGCTGATGCTCAAAAGGCTTAGACATGTGAGGGAGCTCGAAGGATCCGCCAGCAGGATATTATTTTGAATCTTATTGCACCACCAAAATCCAAAAATTATAATTTGCTGACGCTCATAAAACAGTTACAGCTGCCCCGGCATTACGTTATTTTGAATTTTATTGACGAAAAAAGTTGCTCCCTCTGCAAATTCCTTAACAGGACGTTATTTTAAACCAAGATCCAAACATTGCAAAAAATATATTTCGTCACTCACCAACAACCGCAGACAGCTTGGGCCAGTGGAACATGAGATAACGGAGCCCAGTGAAGTGCGCTTGTATGTGCAACTCACTGGCATACACCTGCGCGTGGCGCGACTGTAACTCGACGTACGCGTCTGTCACTGGCAGGTTCTGTGAAAAATATATTCATTTATTAGTTAATAAAGCTTCAACCACAGCCGGCGCGATCATAGGCCAATGACAGGTCGCGCGGAATGTCATGGGTCGCGCGACCTGTCATTGCGATCTGCACGCGTTGGTGTGGTTGAAATTTTAGGGTGAGAAGCACCTGGATTCGGGTAGCGACAGGTTTTTGTGAGTAAGAGAGCCCTACATAACCCACTTGGTCCCCTGGACTAGTGGGTATGCAATTTAAGTCTTTGGTTGAATAGTTAAAATAGTACAGTTTACTTAAATAAATATTATAGCAATAAATGATGTCTAATTTAAATTAAATGTACAGTCAAATTTAAGCCAAATTCTTGTTGATCAGCAAACACATCTAGAACTTTTTGAAATAAAATTTGCCTCACCAGCCATCAGGCGTGTACCAGTTAAAATAACTGAACAAATATAGGGTTATTTAGTTTTTTTTGTATGATTCGTTAAAATTGGGTTACATCTTAAAACACCTTGTATTTATAGACTTAACGTGGTCTATCAATAAATTAATTCAAGCATACGAAACTGGCTTCTATTCCCAATACCACACAGCTCAAATTCCTACCTGATCGTCCTCGAATTCGCTGAACAGTTCCACCTGCAACTGCTGTTTCTCCTCGTTGACGCCAGATAGCAGTAGTGGCGCCATCGTCACGGTGCGCATTATTTGGTGCAGGATGGACCTGGGAGACATGGGGATACTTATGTGGTTGTGATAAGAGATATTTTACAATAAAAAATATTATAGTTTATTGAGCTGTCGACTGTACATATAGCCCAGTAGAATTAAACACAAAAATGAATCAAATCGGAAATAATGCCTACAAAAGACTTTATTGCTTTAATGGCTTCATTGGTTGGGACGAACAGGGATAGGTAAATCTAACTCGCGAGCGACAGGGATACGCTGATTAAGGCGGCTCTTTACAAGGCTTGGGAGCCTGCGGGTGACGAGCTATTGGACGTAGGGTTATTATATTAATTATACGTAAATTTTCTACTTTGTCGAAGATAAGTATGAGAACGGTTTGTCCAAAACATATGAATTTGGTCTTATTTAATGCAGAATTTAGTGCCCTTCAACCGTCATCAAGACTACTTTTCGATAGGGTAAGTCCTTTAACCGGTTTAACGTATAACCGGAAAACCGAAAAAACGCCCCATTCGGGGGCCCCCACCACTTAAGCACAACTCCATCGAAGTCGAAAACCTAGGAGAGTCTTTATGGGCAACCAATGAAGCCATTAAAGCAACAAAATCTTTTGTAAGAATTATTTCCGATTTAAAAGCTAATTCTACTGGCCTAATAGTGGCGCACGGAAAATTGACAGAGTCGAAGCGCTAGTTCGCACACCGAAGTATAGCGACACATGGGTGGGAAAAGGAGAAAATAACCGAGATGGTGTTCACACTTATCACGTCTCAGGCCTGCATAGTGTAAGTACTCGCGCCATAAAGCCCATTTTCAACGCCGGATTAACCATCTCGGGGCCCTTAGGCACAGCTCGTTTCGGGCCCCCCCTTTTTCATACCACAACATCGAAATTTGGAAATGTTTACTGTCTACATTATTTCGTAATGTAGATGTTGAATGACGGTACCATCATTATCGCAAAGGTATACGCCTTCCTTCAAGTGAAAAGACTTTGGCCACAATCTACAGTGTCATTTAAAAATGAAAGAATAGGAAAATCTTGCATATTTTATAAAAAAAAACTTAAACATTAAAAATGTACATATTGTACTGATTAAGAAGCATGTTTAAATATTAACTCTTCTAATTTCTTTGGATACAAAATCGTTTAAAACTTCTTGAAAATTGACCTTTTCTGATACATCATCTTTAACATGTTTTTTTTTTCATTTTTTAATCGGGAGTGCTGGGCCCCTGGTCATAGTGGGCCCCTAGGCACTGGCCTAAAGTGCCTTATGGATAAAATACGGCACTGCCCATTTTCCATCGCCAAAGAGGACTGAGGGATAAAAAAGCGGCTTTTTCTTCTATTCCCCGTTGACAATCCCCGTCAACGTTTGTTTTTTGTTTGCATTGCACTAAAAAGTTCATTATTCCCCATTACGTTCAAAATAAAAATACTAATATAACGGGGATTAATGAACTTTTTGTTAATTAATTATTATTACCCATTATAAGCTCCAATTGGGGTTAACGGGGATTAGTGAACAAAAAGTTCACGTTAATCCGTTGACGGGGATTGTTAACGGGGAAAAGTGGAATAAGCCAAGAAAACGGTCTTTTACGTACCTAAATAGGATTGCTTTTCCACTGAGAAGAATTCGGGAGGGAGTATTGATTTGATGGTGGTGTTAAGCACATCAGGGTTTGACAAAAATATTGAAATAGGGGATAATAGATATTAGCTATCAATATTAAAACAACTAATTATCACTGTTAAAATCTGTTCATCCGTTTAGGCGTTAAGGTACGAAAATGAGCATGCTCAAATTAAAAATCTTAATTCAAAACTGGAGGATAGAACAGAGCACAAGAAACTAAGAAATCATAGGGGTTACAATAATTGAGCTATTGTAATAAAACCAAACATTATTCTTATGCATATTTATATTTATTGTCAAGTTTATCTTACATACTACAAAACATAGTCCCAAGAGGATTTATAAAAATCTATAAAAAAACAAATTCAACTCAAAATTAACAATTCTCTGAAATAAAAAAACATAATTGTTACAAAAACAAAACTTATCATTGATATTTCTTAAACCTATATTCCTAAACTTAATACTTGTTCATTAAATTACTTTTAAGTTTAGCTTTGGAATAAACATAATTATAGCCTACAAGTAATTAATCAAATTAAATTACAATAATCAATATTCTTGAATGATTTCAAATCAACATCAACATTATGAGATCCAAACTTAAAATAAGTAATCATAATTTCACAAAAAACATGTCTTTCATAAGTCAGCCGCATTTGTATTTTTCTGACGTGTCGTGTTTTATGACGTGACGTATCAGAACGGAATCAGTTTCATATTATGTGACACGTCAGAAGCCATCGTAACACCAGAGTAAATACAAATGAGTAGGTCATCTTCATAGAAACGCCCGAGCGCGGTTTGTATGTGAGCGCGCCAATACGTATGCGGCGCGCACGTACACACTGACAACATTCAGGGCACCTCACCGCTAATCCACGCAAAATTTCTATGAAGATGACCATTGGACTCATTTGTGTTTACTCTGGTAATACGACGTAACACTCTATAGACCTAGCGCTTAANGAACTGCTGTTTTAATTTAATAGTTTTTCGATGTGAAATTGCAAAACATGTGACGTCACACTAGGGAGGGGGGGGTCTCAGAAATGTGACCACCTGTGACAAGGACGGGGGGGGGGCTCAAAAAATCATGAAATTCGTGTGACGTACTTTATGGATGGCCCCTTAACTCAATCAGTGATTGACATATAAGAGTGGCACTGAAGGTTTTTGCGATGTCAAACGTCAGCGAGACTTCTTAATATGCTTTATTCTATCACGCAATAATATTATGTCAATGTTACCCATTCCGTGTCGCTCTCATACCGCAAACACTGACTGAGTTATATTAAGCCAAGACCTATTTATGAAACTGATTCCGTTCTGATGCGTCATAATGACACAACGCGTCAGACAAATCTAAATCTGGTTTTACAATAAGAGTACAATTAGTTCTGATTATGATTATTATTGTAAAGTTCACTGTAGTTTTGCTTGATCTTCTTGAATACCTCCGCCATGTTGTTCAAACCCTTGGCCATTATGATCTGCCCTTTAGTAAGCTCGACTTGCAACCGAGCCACATTTTGTATGGAATCCGCTATTATTTCAAGTCCTTCGAGAACCGTTTCCACTTTTTTATTTATGTCTTCATACGGAAAAGGTACAGTCGGTTCTTGTTTTATGATAATCTTGTCTGTAAATTTAAAACATGTTTTATGAGACAGTGACAATAGGTAAATATTTAAAACATCAATATTAAATTTAAATAAACATTTTATAAAAGATAGAACATCCATGCAAGTTAATATACTAAAAAAAATCTCAAGTTTTCCATGGAAAAAAGGGAAATTAAAATTTCATTCAACTCAAACTAACATTATGACACTACAATAAACATGTCCATATAGCTGAAAAAACCAAACTCAGTCATTTTAGATTTATGGACTGAAAAGTTGCAAAAAAAATTATTTAATCTTTTAAACAAGACAAAGGTACAGTAAATAAATAATTTATTAGATTACTTTTACTCTAGACGAAGGGAAAACTTACTCTTGCTAGTATTTTTATCCTCAATGGCTTCAATCACAAGAAATTTATCTTTAGCGTTTTTAGGCATCATATTGAACATTCGTATCTCGTAGTCATGCAAGGCCAGCTTGGCCGGCTTTTTAGACATGTTCAGCTGTCGGCGAGCTCGGTTCATCTTAACGGATAGTTTACTTTTCAGCTTTGTCCAGTACTGGAAAACAAAAGAATGGATTACATTAGAGCATTGGTTCCCAAACTTATTTGAGACGCGCCCCCTTTCGATCATATAAAAAGTTCCGCGCCCGCCCTCCTCCAGTCAAGATTATTTATTGGTCGTATCGAGCAGTCTGGAATGCATTCTCTCAGTAGTGGTCACAGGTTTCTTACAGATGGCCCGTGCCCCCCTTTAAAGGTCTTTCTTTGGGAACCAATGCATTAGAGTAAGGGCTTTCTTGATCTCTGAGTGAAGTGTCAAGTAGGCTACTCATTGCTTAGTCAGGAGAAGTAACAAAACCATGACACAAGTTATTTTCTTACTTTTACTTGCTTTACTCGGAGATCTTGACAGGTAGTTTAAAATTAGTAATCATCATGTACAGCATTTTATAACTATGGACAGGTAAATAGATGATGGCATATAAACTAAGCACTGGGATATCTTATGTGGTTGGAATAGGTGTTATTTTGCAAGAAAAATGTGTCGTCTGATGTATTATCGTAGTAAAACACGAAGAAACATACCGCTTTGTACTCCTTTACGCCGCGCGCCCTTTGCGTACTAGGGTTCAAGCAGTTGATATCTCTCATCAATTCTTTCCATTTAAATTCGCTCTCGAACTGATCGTCAGAGTTCGAGTTGACTCGCCCAAAAGCCAGGTGAGGGTTCGATGCAGCGAAGTTTAGAAGAACATTCAGTTGCTCAGTGGATAGATCGAGGTATGGCGCCATCTTCAATGAAAAACATGCTATTTCACTCAATCCGTCGTAAATAAACATACAAATTGATAATATGCATAGCATTCAATAAATAATTTATGTATTTGGCTGTTGAACGCTTACCTTTTCAATTTGTTAACCGTTGATTGTATTGTAGGCTTGATTTTGGTTTAAGTTTATTGAGTGCACTACAAAAAACGCTTCTCGGTCACTTTTTGTTTCAATTAGAAGGGCGATGAAGATTTTTCATACAATACTTAATTTATAAAACTTTTCAACACTTTTTGCAGGTGGATTTGAATTGAATTTTTTGCGAAATCGGCGAAAACTTTTGACATTTGTTTTTTTTTAATCCGTAATCATATGAACGACTGATTGAGGAATTGATTATTATACAGTTTAATCGATTTATGTTTTTCTAAAGTTATTAAACAATAAAATAATCTTAATTATTAAGATTTAGTTAAATCTAGTTTAGTAAGATTTTTACCTATGCCTGAGCATTGCCGATCTGCACGAAGACGATACGAGGACTCCGCCCTTTGCTCTCATTTGTGTGCACACCATGAACATACCTGCAATAAATGAAAAATAGTTTTTACATCCTTGTAATAAGGTTCGAATTTATTTAAAAAATATCAACATTCCTTTTTCCGTGTTGTTTCTGGATAATGAATGATCAACAGAAACTTAGCGCGCGTAATTATGTTGCTGTCGCGCTCGCACACTCACTGCGCGCGCGAACGATAAGGATGGGTAGCTTGTGGTCATTGGACAAAATTCTACGTGCTCACGGGCCAGACTTTTACACGGGAAAAATCAAAAGGAACCTTGATATTTATTGAATGATCATTCAGAGATCCCTGGGTCTCAGGTTCAATTTCCGGTCGCGTCAATATTTTCAAATAACTTTTGGTTCAACCAAATTATTGCAACCACTAAAAAAAAAAAAACAAAATCGTGATTCAGCCTCAAATAAAAATAAGAACTTTTATTAACATTAAATTAATAAGTATGTCTCCACTTTAGGAGNTGTAGGAGCACAATCCCAACTAATATTATAAATGCGAAAGTAACTCTGTCTGTCTGTCTGTCTGTCTGTCTGTCTGTTACGCTTTCCCGCTTAAACCTCGCAACCGATTTTGATGAAATTTGGCATAGAGATAGTTTGAGTCCCGGGAAAGAACATAGGATAGTTTTTATCCCGGTTTTTGAAACAGGGACGCGCGCGATAAAGTTTTTCTGTGACAGACAAAATTCCACGCGGGCGAATCCGCGGGCGGAAAGCTAGTCCTTTATAATTTACTATTTAGGAATAGTTTACATATTTTAGCCATATTTCTCATTGAAATGTAAAACCTGTACCTAAATCCTTATTAATTTGTGTTTCTGGCATCTCCAGTATAAGTTTGATGCGGTAAGGCTGCGCAGCCATCAGCATGTGACTTCGCTTCGTAAGCTGGACGTGGGCCGATGGGAACGAACATATCCCCATCTGTTCATCGCATGATCTGTAATACCGATATAAACAGCCTTAAAAAGTCCTTAAACAGTTGTTTAACTGCTGTATAGTTAAACCATGTTTAAGGAGTAAATAACACTATGCATCCGCTATACTCAAGAATCTGTATGGTATACCTACAACAAATTAAATTACCCATAATTCAGATATAGAGATAAAGAGTGAGTTATGTGAAAATATTAACTCATTTTTCCATAAAGTTAAAAATGGTGTGAAAAATAGTTCCATTTTGGGGCAGTACTCATAAAAACTCACAAAGTTTTATTAGCCACTAGAACTTCAAAACTTTAGTAACCACATAAGATAAAAATAATGGAAAATTTCAACTATGTCTGCCCACTAATTTAATTTAATATTAATGTTATAGTAAATCAAATTGAATTGGAAAACGTTTCGATTATTTATTCAATAAATTGTATACTTACTTGAATTGCAAATGTACAGGTCTGACATGTGTAACGTTGGGCATGTATGTGTAATAAAACACAACATACATAAACACAGATATCCACACTATTGCCGACAGAAAAACTGAGATCACCCCCGCTCTATAGAGCAGTTCCTTCGCGCTACTGATCCCCTCATCTGTCTTCTTTTTATACCCCAAATACTGTCGCAAAACGAACACTTCTACCGGAGTACGCACAAAGTCTCTAAAAACCCTAAACGGGTTTAAATAATTTACCAAAGCCATACTTTCCCACTTGCCTAGATAACCAGTAACTAACCGGTCAAGCAAACGGATCTAAATCGTTTCGGGGGTAGATAATGCACTGAAATAAGAGATAAACTAAAGTCCAAAGATAACTTCAGCGAAACTTCGAAGAACTTGCTACGACGCCATTTAAAAATTTGGTGAGACTTAAAAATAACTTTTTATAGATGTTTCGATGTTAATTAATGCAGAATAAGTTAGTGTTTGTATTTATTTTCGTTTTAATTTATGTGAAATTGAATGTAAACATTGTTTTTAGAGGAAAAATGAAGGTCAATGACACTTTGACATTGACAGCTGCTATCATCATAAACCAAAGAAAAATTGGGGTCCGATTCCATGTACAATCATTCAACTGAAACCTCCACAGTTGAAACCTATATCTTATACAGCTCGAAGTCGATTACAATTTGAGATTTAAACAAAAAGAAGGCAAAAAAAAAAGTTATATCGAGTGACTTTGTACGCAAATAGATCGACAGATCACCAGTCTCGTCGGCCAACCATTTTTAGCTATAGTTCCAAAATACTGAACTGTCCTATCGATGACATTGACAGCGGGGCGCCACCGTCAATACCGAATCGCTGGTTCCGATTTTTGCCATGTTGGAAACCATAAAGTTGAACGATGGTAGCGCCCCCCTGTCATTGAGTTTGGCGGGACAGTTCAGCGTGGGTCGGATTACTAATGTTTGGCCAAAAAACGTTTCCCAAATTATCACATCGCAAACAACGTTTCGCAAATTTTCATTTGGCAAATTCTCATTTGGCAAAACAACTTATAGCAAACTTTTAAATCGCAAATGCCGTTTTTGGCATATTATTGTTTAGCNAGAACATTTCCTCAGTACGACTGAATCGCGACTAACCTGACGTCGCGGGCGATGTTCGTTTCTGGGCATATCGCGGAGACACGTGCCACGCCCCCGTTTCACATCTATTCCCTTCTATGATCTGAGGTCCTATCGATGACATTGACAGCGGAGCGCCACCGTCAATACCGAATCGCTGGTTCCGATTTTTGCCATGTTGGAAACCATAAAGTTGAACGATGGTAGCGCCCCCCTGTCATTGAGTTTGGCGGGACAGTTCAGCGTGGGTCATCTATAACAATAATTCTGTCCATCACCTCTCCATGAAATTTAATAAGCTCGAAGCTACTCTATTTATTTATCAGAATCGCCTTAGTCCATCCCTGTTCTCCTCTTGTCATTTGTCAAATCTGTAATTGTCTATTGTCACTCTGCTTCATCTTCCTCCATCATTGTTTTATTACGATTTTCTTTTGATAGCAAGATATTTTCAAAAAGAAAGTGTTTCCCAATATAAATTTGCTGAATTGGCAATATATGTGTGTACCTTAAAGTTATTTTTATGGCGATTCTCTATGTGAGGCATTCATTGTTTTGATACAGAACAGTATGTTTTGATTACATTCGTTTGACCCCAAAATGTCTTCGAATTTGGAAAGTGAGGACCTTTCTGACGTCCAGCTGGTTCGGATGGAAGATGTGCAGCCAGCTAGAGAGCAGCGAGACGATGACCAGTTGGAGGTGAAAGATGAGAGCATGGAGACGTTCATTTTCGAAGAAATTGACTATGAAAACGAGTGCGTTGTGGATGATGATGACTCCAATATTGGTAGTATGGTCTCCATTCAGTCTGAGGACGCGTCTACGCCGTCCGAGGAAGTGTCAGTGCAGTCTGAAGTGTCGATAGCATGTGAGGACCTTCCAAACCAGGCAGAACAGGACCCCCAATTAATTGAAATTTATGACCAGAGCAGCTCAGAGTTAATAATTCCAGATGTAGTTAACACTCGGAGAATTATTGTCGTGAGTATCTTTGTTGTCTAAAAAGTAATTTTACAGTAAAATAACAATTATCACTTATGCTGAGTTGCTCCATTTACTTTATCCATAACTATGGTGTTTTTGTATGGAGTTTGACTGACTTGACATTTGTTCAAGAAAGATGCTGCAACCCAGCCTTAATCACCTTTCCAATTAAGATAAATAGAAATTAACAATGCCTTTGTTTAATTGTTAAATATTTCTTATTCCCACCTTAGGCAGTTTGATTTTTTAACACTGCAGTACACGCGCCCCTTTTTTTACACGAACACACGCGCGGCCTACTCTGGTAAGCCAATTTAAAATCACTGTAAATCAGTTTGTAAGCAATTTATGAATATAATTATTATGTAAACGATAAAAGTGTTTATTATAGTTATTTTATAATCAAAGTTTCTCGAATAACTATTTGGGATCAAACATTCTAAAAACAGATTTAAAAGTTGTAAATTTTTTGGACCAAAATTTCACTCTGAGACCAATGTTAACAAAAAAATATTGACTGAAAAAATATGATTAGTTTTTTATCTGTCATAGTATTCATGACTTTCTACTGCCTGGTACACGGTGTAAATCCATTTGTTGCAAGACTTTCATAATTTTTTTGTCAACTGATTTCAGGCTTTTGAGTAAACTCGCAGTTTTGACGGCCAATTTTAGAAAAGTGCGCAGACTCTAGCGACCCAAGCTTTACTGGCTTACTGACAAATTTAGTAAACGAGGCTTTCCTGGAATGCCAGCTCTCTGGCGCAAGTTTTCAAAAAGTTATAGCGAAAAATGTTACCCTGGTCTACTATAGTAGTCCGCGCGTGTACTCTAGTGTTAAGTTGTTTATTTAAAATTTGTCTTTGTTTAGTTGCAGAATGCAAATCCAGCACCAAAGAAAGAAGTTAAAACGGTACCAGACAGTTGGCCAACATTGGAGATCTTACCTGGCGGTGTCATTAAACGTTCCGATACTGTAGATGACGACGCACTCACATCGTATTCCGCGGAAGAGGGTAACGATGTAGCGAACGAATCTGACGGTGAGGCTGGAGAGAAGATGTATGCGTGTGCCAAATGCTCCAAGAAATTCCGATATCTGTACTGTTTAGTGAAACATGTCCGATGGCACGACAAGCAGAAAAAAGACCCAGATTTATCAAAATTATGTGAGTATAAAATAATTTGTGAGTTTATTACCTTAAACACTGACCATAGTGTTAAAGTAATGGGTTTATTTAGTTATAAACTGATTGTTTTACAAAAAAGTTGCACAATATTTTTTAATAAATATACTTTTGAGTTTTTCAAATGACAAAAATGTGGTAGTAATTAAACACAGTGGCCATATTATGGTAATATTTGAAAATGGTAAGTAATTTCATTATATTTAAATGAAATAATTAGATAAAATAAATATAGATCCACCAAATTAGAAGAAATGATAATGCTTTGACTTGAAGTTAATTATAAAAATTATAAATTAACATACAATATTTTGTTTATTGAAATATTGCCATAATATGGTCTGAAATGGTCCCTAACTTTGGTTGATCTATATTTTTCTTAAAATTTTTGGTTCATTCCGATCTCATGTCACCTATTGCTAAATTACCAATGGATTTTGAAATTTGTCTGTAATGTAACATGGTTCAAAATCAATTGTGTGATTTTTTCATAGGTTTAAGTCCATGAACATAAATAATTTATCTTAACTGTTTCAGTGCCGATAGAGAAAGAAATGATTTATATAAAAAGAGCAAGATTAGAACTAGATAAGAGCTATAAGAAACAAAAAGTGGATGTTATATCTAGGTAAGGTATTAAAACTACAGACTTAAATGACTAGACATTTATAAAAAGTGTTCTATTAATCAAATTTTTCTTTTTCAGGATAGCAGGAGCATTAGGACAATTAGAAGATATTTCTGAAATACTGAAATAGTTAATAAAAGTTGTATGATAAAATAAATTATGTATTTTTTATTTTGACACCTGTTCTCATACATCCAGCATGGATATTTCATTAAAAAAAATGCTACAGCAGTAGACATCTGAAAATATTTCAAAATATAGAGTCAGAAGCTGCATTAGGGCTTGTGCAAACAGGTGACTGAGGCAAAAAAGTTTCTGCCACTGTCACGCTCACGTCGCTACATGCTTTCACTTCCATGGACTTCTTGGAGGTGACGAAACAGTCACGGCGACAAAAATCTCCTTTACGCGTGAGCCAGTCTGTATTTGTCAATAGGCCGTATAAGCCGCGGCCTAGGGGCGGCAGATTTCAGAAGACGCTTCCTTGATTTCAGAAGATAAAAGTGAAAGGAGATCCAGCAACATGGGATCGTNCGGGATCGTAACCGTATCAACTCAAGGCGGTCAATATTCTTTGTATGAAACTCCATACTCTAACGTAAACTTCTTATCCGCACCGTAATGTAAAAGCCTGAGTTGATAAGTCTGCTAATGAGCTTAGTGTGCGTTTCAGTTCGGAGTATCATACAAAGTATATTGACCGCCTCGAGGTGATACGCCTACGATCTGGGTTGATAAGTGTGCTTCGTCCTAAAATGTGCATTTTATTATAGTCTGGCCCGTGTGCACGTAGAATTTTGTCTAATGACCCCTAGCTACCCATCCTTATCGCTCGCGCGTAATTATGTTGCTATCGCGCTCGCACACTCACTGCAGGTGCCAGTCGCACAGTCGCGACAGCAATATAATTACGCGCGAGCGATAAGGATGGGTAGCTAGGGGTCAGTGGACAAAATTATACGTGCTCACGGACCGGGCTTTAAATGCAAGTCTTATTTACAGGTTCATGTGTAAACGGAAACTTCCTATGCGTGCACCCAGTCAAACAAGAAACCAAACGAAAGCCACGGACAAAAGCAAACAAAAAGAGGATACCAAAGAAAAATAAATCATAGCCTAAGTTTGTTGCGAGTATTTATACAGGGTGAATTTATTAAGCCACATTTTTTTATTCGAGACCCAAAATCTAAACAAAGAACTTAATTTTACTGTAATTAAATAAATCATTGTATAGATTCAGTGTACATTTTATGAATTTCTTTATTTGTTGTGTTGTACCGTAATAGTTTATGTGAAAGGATTTATTTAATAAAGAAACCTTAGAGTGTAGGATTTTAATGAACTTTATTCATTGTATTAGACTTTTCTAGGCTGTTTATTTCATGCCCAAAATAGTTTATGAGTATTCCTGCCTTGATTGGCTCTTAAAAATCATTTTACTAAGTCTCAAATTGTTTCTAGGTATTTCAAAATCAACAATGCAGTGTTCTGTATTTTTTCCCTGACTCCATTTGTGTTAAACAGTGGACATAACAACACAAAGACATCTGATATTGATTGGCAGCTGCTAAACAAATGTGATAATGTCGATATTCAGCCTTCGAATTCAACGTTAACGAGACAATTTTGATCGTCAAAATGAGTTTCGTGCTACCATTTCTCATAAGTTCACTTTACGACACGTTCACAAGGGCGCTGTTTTAGTTTTCGTATCTAATAGATCTTTTGATGGGGATTCGAAGCCGAAAGTTTTCATGCTAGAGATACAGGATACATTAATAGCGTTAAAATGAAGTTACAGTTTTATTTTACTACTAGTTGTTAAAAATTGTTTGGTCTTATAAATTTTAAATTGCTTTCAATCTATATTTTAAAGTTATAATGTTTATTTATTCAAGAACCTTCTACATTATTGTTTTCTTAAAAAAATATAAAGAAAGTAATGAAAATTTGCTAACTTGAATTTCAATAAACATCTAACTACAAATATAACGCCCTGTATAAGTGTAATATAAATGTAGCATAGAAAGGTTCATATCCAAAAAAAAAACATTATGTAAGCTGTTAAGTTCCATCAAGATTTTTTATGAATGTTTTCATTGTAAATATTTTTTTTTGTTTTACTTTTAAAGTTATTTTAAACTTTATTCGCCTAGTATGTAGTGGTGGTCTAAAAAAGGCATTTTGAAAATACCTTCTTGATCTAAGTTTATGTTCAGAGGGGCCACTCTTGTTGTTGTTAGTCAATTCATAGCTCTAATAAAACGATTGTTGTAAAATTAAAGTTTTATTGATTTTATAAAATAAATATTTTAAAATTAACAAATGCACATTTTTAATTTAACTAACAAAGTCATACCTACACAGGACAAATACAACATCTGCAATAAATATTATTGTATGTAATTTAATTACACCATTCAAATACACGTGCGAATTTTCGGAACTATCCATCCCTTTCACTCAAGACAAATGAGCGAGATAGATATATCCAATAACAGCGCTAGGCTCCGCCCATTTCATTTGTCAAAAGCCCGCGCGCGCGCAAGTTAAATTTAATGTCGAATGATAAAACGTTTAAATCAGTCTTTTAAGTTGCTTCAGTTCTTGTTGTTTCGTCAATAACTTTTCCTTATCTAAGACTTTCGTCCATTCCGACGCGGAGTTCAAATAATGTGGATTATTTTGTTTTTCTTCCAACTTCATTATAGCTTCTTGCAGCTTGTTAATTTTCTTTACTAATTTATCCCTAGCAGCCAATATGGTGCTATCTACGTTATCTCCAATAATTTCTACGCACACTTTAGTATCTTTATCCAAAATGCCACTGACGCAGTTTTTCGCGGCCTCAGCATCGAAATGAAGAAGACCACATCTGGTTAAATTCAGCACAATTCTTTCATTATATTTTATATCAGACACCAACGTTTCATCAGAGGTACAAAATTGTATTGCTGGCTTAAATTTATTCGAAATCCCGTAGAAACCTCTCAATTCTCTGACTAGATTTATGGCGCTCAACAGTTTCCCTACTTTCCCTTCCAAGTCTAAATTCTTCCAAGCGTTGAAATCTTCAGGTTTGGGAAAATCTAAATATGGTTTCCCACTGTCATTGAAGTTTATGATGATGTTTCTTTGAAAGGCAGGAATTTTAGGGATGAGTTCATCCGTTAAATATGCCATAAAAGGTGCAAGACACCTTAGCGACGTATTCAAAACTGCGGAAAGAGTGTGAGCGTGTGCAAATCCCATTTTTTTGTTATCACTATCAAAACCCGGTTTCGTAGCTTCTAGGTACACATCACAAAATTCGTTGTAGATAAGATTCCTCAGAGCTTTCGTTGCTATATGGAAATTATAAGTATCCATAGACACGTTGACTTTTTCCACCATATCCGCGAGTCTGCTAAGAATCCACTTGTCGAAATATGTGAGGTCGTCTAAAGTTATTTTATCTTCAATAACGCCCAGTTTGTTGTAGGATAACTGGGTGTATTTGACACTTTGCCAGATTTTGTTGCAGAAAAGTTTGTTGGCATGGCACATGGCCACATCGAAATTGACAAAATGAGATTTCACGTCTTGCGAGAGGAGAGTGAATCTCAAAGCATCAACTCCACACTGGGGAATGCCGTTCGTATTGGAGAAATTTGATTTGTGGTAATCCAACGCCTTGTTCATTTCTTCCTTGCTCAAAATTCCGTTTTTGTGCATATCCTCCGTTTTCTCCTTGAGTTTGCCCATCGATATCCCGTTGATGACGTCGAGTGGGTCAATGACGTTGCCTTTGCTCTTGGACATTTTAGCGCCTTTGTTATCGCAAATAATACCGTGTAGCAAGACTTTATTAAATGGTAACTTATCCGTTAGTTCCAGGCCAAGGATCACCATTCTGTGTACCCAGAAACCTAGGATATCGTGTCCAGTGGCCATAAGGTCTAACGGGTAGAATTCTCTGTAGTCTTCGTTGTAATAATGCTCGGGCCATCCCAAAACAGCGAATGGGTATATGCCTGAGGAGAACCAAGTGTCTAGGACATCAGTATCTCTTTCTGCCTTGATCTCCCCAGGCAATGTTCGTAGGAATTTGGATGCTTGCTGTTTGGCTGCCATCTCATCGTTAGCTGCGATCCAGATGACACTTTTTTCGACGCTGCATTTGTAGGCGGGAATTTGATGACCCCACCAGAGCTGCCGTGATATGCACCAATCTCTGTCATCCCCAGTCCAATTTAACCATTGTTTGACGAACTTTTCTGGTTCAATTTTTAATTTCCCCTCTTTTAAAATTTCTGAGATTCTCTCGTTTATTGCACTACACGATAAAAACCACTGTTCCTTCGGCAAATACTCTATGACGTCACCAGTCCGGCTGCACACTGGTAACGTCATTGGATGTGGTTTCACTGCTCTGAGGAGTCCAGAATTTTCTAACGCTTGAACGATAATTTCTCTGCAATCGTACTTTTTGTGGTTATTGTATTTGTCACAGTTTTTCATGCAGCCATTCTCGTCGATAACTTGTAGTAGAGGCAAGTGATGGTGTTTGGCGATGTCGTAGTCAACTTTGCTATGCGCTGGCGTTATTTTCACGGCTCCAGTCCCGAATTCCATGTCGACGAAATCGTCTGCTACGATGGGTATTGTGGCGTTTCGAAATGGGTGTATAGCTTGCTTGCCGATAAGGTGTTTATACCTGAAAAGGAGAAGAAATAAAATTAAATTTTGTACAAACCTTCTTATTTGTCAGCCCTGAGAGTAATATTTATTAAAAATAAAATTAATCGTACCTGGAATCATGTGGATGAACTGCAATAGCCACATCACCCAGCATCGTTTCAGGCATTGTTGTAGAGACTACTATTTCTTCTGACGGTGGATCGAACAGTTTATATGCAAAGCTGTACATGAGACCAAATCTGATGGGCCTATCATATCCTGGTATCACCTTATCTGTTGATCCATTTATAGTCTCATTCTCAACTTCAATATCGGACACTGTAGATTTTAATGCGTTACACCAGTTGACTAGAGCCTTCTTCCGGTAAATGAGGCCTTTTTGGAATAATCTTATGAACGCTGTATTAACTGCGTTTGAATGTTTGGGGTCCATCGTGAACTTTTGTCTTGACCAATCCAAAGAGCAGCCAAGGGTTCGTAGCTGTTCACAAATTGTGTCTCCATGCTTTTCTTTCCACTTCCAAACTTCGTTGATGAATTTCTCACGGCCAATCGTTAATCGGTCCATTCCTTTCTTGCTATGCAAATACTTTTCTACAACACCCTGAAATGAACAGAAAACTTAAATAAGTGTTTCAGTTTCTGCACAAAAAGTTGCAGCATGCAGTTCTTGTTTGAATTTACAGAACACCAGTAGCTGAAACCCAGCAAATATTGTTTTGCATCTAAAGCCCAGTCTCTGAGCACGTAGAATTTTGTCTCGAAACCGCGCGATTATCGCTCGCGCGTAATTATGTTGCGCTCGCACACCCACTGCNCTCACTGCGGGCGCCCGTCGCACAGTCGCGACAGCAATATAATTACGCGCGAGCGATAAGGATGGGTAGCTTGGGGTCAATGAACAAAATTCTACGTGCTCAGCGACCAGACTATAGGCATATGAAAAATAGTTTGGGATAGGAATTTTGTATTAGATTTTTTTATACTGCAATTACCTCCATAATTTACTTATAAAACTTATACATAAATCAACATTCAAACCAGGTTTATTTTCATTTCAACGAACAGATTAATATTGTAACGTTAAAACTATTTCACCTGAGTAGCTATTCCAGCGTGGTCAGTGCCAGGTAGCCAGAGCACATTGAAGCCTAGTGACCTCTTTCTTCTTACGGTCACATCTTGAATGGTGCAGGCTAGAGCGTGACCTGAAAGGTATAGGAAAAAGAAACGTAGGCTGTATTTTTGAATATATAAATAATTATTAAAGTTTTACTATTTCTTGATAAAGTTTCACATAGTTATCAGACATTATTATAAATAAAGTATGCCAATTTTATTATAGGTAGCTTCAGCAGTCATTTATCTCTATCAGTGACCTGGAAATCTAAAGTAGACTGAAAGATATGACTGTCCCTTTGAAGAAACTAGGTCAAACTATCAGACTTAAAAAATCCTCCCCCTGGGCCAGAAGCTGGGTATTTGCCCCCCCTCCCCTCCAGGCCAGAAGCTAGGTACGCCCATGGCTGTGAGACCTTAGACCTTATACAGACCCTTCATGTTTCAAAGTTGATTAATTTAAATGACAATGAAAGTAAATTAGAATTTTATCAATTTACTGTGCTAAAGAATAGCGCACAAAATAAGCCAACATTATGTACAAGCTAGCCATGTATTCCTAAATTTAATACACTGAGATTTAATAATAAATCTAGCAATAAATTCCAAAAATAAATCCAAATTATAACCTAAGTTCTGTACCTAAATGCAGTTTTCCTGTGACGTTCGGAGGTGGAAGAACCATGCTGAAAGGAGGCTTGTCGCTTAAATTCTCGGCTTTGAACAAGCCCTTCCATTCCCATTGATTGTATTTGTCTTTTTCCACAACTTCTGGCTTGTACGCCGCAGCGGACAAGTTTTCCTTCAGAATTATTCTAGTTGTGGACGAAATGGACCGCCGGTATAGATATAAATACGGTAACATATAATTTCTAAACCGTGAAAGCATTTTCACGTAGTTTATTTGAATTTAATCGGTAATATTAATATAATTTCACAGAGATTTTTTGAAAACAAAATGTACGTGTGTTCCGTTTCACTAAATTTGACAATTGATTATAAGACAGCTTAAATTCTTAAAAAATTATTTCAGCTGGCCTAAAAAAATAAAAAACCGGTCAAGCGCGAGTCGGTCCCGACCGCCGAGGCACGGTAATACTATATGATATTATTACCGTGGCCGAGGGTTCCCGTTCCCGTACAAACTTGTATTTGTTATTGAAATAGAATAAACTATGAATAAAAACGAGGATTCGAAGACTATTTTTTAATTTTACCACAACTGCGTGGGAATCATTTTAAATTGCACAAGGGACAAAGGACAATCACAGGACACTGAAAGGCAACCTACTTAGGAAATTTTTTAATAATAGAGCTTTCACATTTAAAAATATTTTATTATGCAAATTACAATAAAAAGCTGGGAAGTTCAATACCAATAATCATACAAGTCTTTTCAAAAGGTATCACAATAAATTTTTCAAAAACTTATAATCTAACTAGAAAATTGATTAAAACCAAAATTAATGTAATCATGTCGCTCGGCGAAGCATGATTTTACTTTGATTTTATTCGATAAAAGTTCCCCTTGTATGCAAAAATAAAGAAAGTATACTCAAGCTATACGTATACAAAACGGCACCTTGTGCCATGGACTTAGTCTACGAGTAAAATTACATCATGAATAAATGACTATATCAATAGTTAGGCCAGTTTTTACCTCATTCGAAAAAACGGAGGCCTTCTTGGTGGGTTATAATAAATGGACGTTGTCAGCCACAAAATAAGACTCAAATTTGTTTTAGCCTCAAAGATTACACGAGTATACAGAACTCAACTCAACTGGCTTAGTGTTGAGGTGGCAATTGTAAAAAATAGTTTGATATAATGCCTTTTAGGCGATTATCACACTGCACCGCGCTCCGCCGCGGTACGCGGGACTACAGATTTAATCATTATATGCAAGTACCTCAGTTTGTATAGAAAACACGCGCGGCACAACACACTGACAACGCGTTTGCGCGCGGGATTCGTTATATGTCGCCACGCGGACCGCGGTGCAGTGTGATAATCGCATTACATTAGTTTGTCCTGAAAAATTTCAAAAAGAATGGCTGTCCCTATGAATTACTCAGAGACTGAAGCCCCGTCGTTGTAATTCCATCCGTGCACTGGGAAGTACATCTGCATTAACGTCTTGTATATGTCCACATCAACCGGCATGAACGTGCAGAATATGATGCGTTCCATTTCTTCGTTAGCCTCAAGGAACTTTCTGGCTGTACGCAGTGCGATGTGAGCAGCCAGACGGTTGGGGAAGCCGTAAATGCCAGTGGCAATGCAAGGGAAGGCGATGGACTTGATTTTGTGCTCGTGGTGGAAGGCGAGACTCTTGTCGTAACAGGACTGCAGGGCTGTCACTGAACCATCCCGAGGGCCAACCGTGTGAATGACATCTGAAAATAATTATTGGGACATTATTTTTTCTTCTATTCATCCATCAGAGACAATATGTCTTTAGTTTGGTTTTTTAATTTCGAGGAGGCTTTTGCCCACACAGGGTGCCACAAGAATTAATATTTATAATGAATTCAATAATTGTAGTCAAACCATTTTTGTGGAAATAAAAGCTAAAGTAAAAAGCTTTTATATTACTTTTTCTTTATAACTCAGAATAATAATGGGCTGAGTATAGCAGAAAGTATAAATACTTACATTTAGTAGGCAGATTGTAGCCACTTGTAATCTTGGCTTCCCCAGTGCCGCAGCCGTGGAGGGAATTGCATTCCTCCTGAAAAACAAAGTTCAAAGGGTTTAGAGTAATTACCACTTGGCTTTAGTGTCTCATCATGTCAGCCATAGGACGTCCACTGCTGAACATAGGCCTCCCCTAATGCTTTCCACATTGATCGATTGGTAGCGGCCTGCATCCAGCGCTTCCCTGCTACCTTCACGATGTCGTCTTTAGTGTCTATTACTTATAATCAAGAAACAAATAGCTTTAGTGTCTATTACTTATAATCAAGAAACAAATAGCTATTCTGATAGTTACAATCAAATTCCGACACACAGAGAAATTTCAATTCTTTTCGCTCGCCGCATGTGACAGTGGCAACACGTGTTTCAGGTGTTTAAGTGGAAAAATCAAATTCTAACGTAGTTTAACTCAAAAAAAACTCAATTTTAAGCTTAGTTATTTTAATAATTAACAACAGGTGACGGATTTATCTGGTAAAACAGTAAGTAGAATGGAATTAACTCCTCCCGATCCCCCGGATCCTCCGGATCCGGCCCCCTGTTCAATGGACATTTCTCAACCACTGTTTTCTCAAGCCGCAACAAAACGCCGCCTGGATTCGGAGGTTCCTTCTGAACCCGCGAAGAGATCCAACAACCCTTCTGCTGCAATGTCATCTCCAAGCAGCCAACCGGTGTACACGCACCCATCTCTTGTTATCGCACCAAAAGTCTACAGTGACCTTGACAAAGGCCCTTTTATTGTCCACGTGTCCCGCATCGAAACCGAGCCTAATGCCCCAACTTTCATCCAGCCAATTAGGTTTGGAAAATTTTTGGTCAATAACAAAATTAAGGACGTGATCAACGATGGTATCAAAAAAATTGGGAGAAACAGAATCTCTGTTGAGTTCACATCTGCCAGTGCTGCCAACAAATTTTTGAGTAGCGAGATTCTATCCCTTTGCAAGTACTCAGCAACAATCCCGACGTACAACGTGACCCGTATGGGCCTCATTAAACAGATCCCCTCCGATCTTCCAATGGAAGAGCTTGCGGAGTCATTGACGATTCCTGACGGATGTGGCATCCTGCTAAAAGCCCGCCGTCTAAACAGGAAAGTGACCACAGACGGGCAAGCGTCCTGGGTCCCCACCCAATCGGTAGTCGTGACATTTAAGGGACAGGTTTTGCCAAAACGAGTATTTCTGTTCCATAACTCAATTCCAGTTGAGACATACCAGCTCCCAACTATTCAGTGCCTCAACTGCTGCCGCTTTGGCCATGTCAAAGCCCAGTGCAGGTCGAAGGCTAGATGTTTTCGTTGCACGCAACCCCACTCAGCGGATAACTGTGATATTACCGAAGAAAAGGCCACATGCATTCACTGCACAGGACCTCACTTTGCTCTTAACAAATCCTGTCCAGAGCACTCCAGACAAAAAGCTATTAAAATTGCTATGTCACAGGATANGTTTTTTACATTGCATAAGATAAATATTTTTTACCTGTAGGTATTTAACGTGTTATTCACACAAAAAGGGGCTATAAACACAAATTTCGCAAATCAGTCCGAATAGAGTCAATGCACTAATTTAGGGAATTTGTGAAGTTGTTGTTATTATTTAAACAAGATTAGTATACCGTTTGAATGGGGATAGACTAGAGAAGTTTTGATAAAATCAGAAGATCGCTATCTCTTTTTAAAAAAAATTTATAGCCATGTAAACTTAAATGTTCAGTCCATTTTTAACTTTTCGGAAAAGTTCAAAGCTGAATTAAAAAAAAAACTAGATGATATTTGCCAGTAACTTTAGATTTGATGCAACCCTATATCAATGCAGGTCAAAACAAAATATTTACTTTGAGGCTACGCTTAGTAGTTTTTTTTTAAATCGAAAGTAAATGATGCGATTTGGGTATTTTGGTGAAATTACTAAAAAACTTAATATAAAAGTAGCCGCCTGACATGGAACGTGTTATGGGGGCTGAAAATATAGGAAATGACCCATTCTATCCGCCAAATCATTTTGGCACACGATGCGCCAAACACCCTGTATATCAAAGTTGATATATATCGGATATATATCATAAATATCCGATATTTTGATATTTATAATAAATATCGGATATTTTCGAACCCTGTTCCTTGGAAAGGATTGTTTTGATTGTGATTTTAAGTTTATTGTGCGTATCATAGTTCTTTTATGTGCAAGTAAAAGCACAGGCCTTTTATAAGTTTGGAAATCCTTTAGCAATAACATTGAAATAAACAATTAACGTGAGATTGTATTTTGTATACCTCCAACTTTGTGATATCTCCTTGGAAAATTGACACCTTCTCAGAGAGCTCTTTATCTTTAGAAGGGTCAAGTTTAATCTTCTGGAACTCCGTAAGGTCATCCAAGGTGTGCTTCAACATCTCAATATCGCGATTTTTGATCACAAACTTGCACCACGGATCGACTTTGTCAAGGATTATGTAGTCGCCCGGTTTATATAACTTCCTCTTCTCCTCCAAAGGCAAATTAGCAATCTTGTTTTTCTCAACCTTCCATTTACTTTGCGTAGTCATCTTTTCCACACAAAACGGACGTACTAACTGCGCACGATAAACATGAAAAATGGAGAAAAAAATTGCACGATTCGCCGGCAAAATCATGTCCTAAACCTGTTCCTCTTCTAATCTGTGGTTAGTATTTTTTTTGAAATCGTATTCGGATTATGTGTTGTTTCTATGGTGTTTGACACTTTTGAAATACACTATGACAAATTATGTGAAAAAGTTTGAAAACGAACACGCCCAGGCATTGACGTTTATAATGACATTTAGGACTGCGGAAAAGTCTTGGTCTAAAGCCGTGAAACGATATTAAAAAAAAAATCAGGGAAAGGGAGGGCGTTTTTGGTTTAGGCGGGAATTTAAGTTACCGAACCGACTGTACCTACTTTATCCTTGGTCTGAGGTTTACCAAACCAATAAAACGTAGTGAATTATATCCTCTTTGAAACCAATTTTTCGATTCGGTAGGAACGACAAGGTTTTTTTTTCGTTTGTTGGCTTTACACGGCTTAGCGACAAGTTTCTTGATTTCTCATTTTTAGTTATAAAAAGGTAATTTTTACTTAGCTGATGTAGGTAGGTGTTTATTTTTCCCCTAAACACTAATAATGTAATCAATTTGTACAATGAGGAACTAATCATATTGATTATGTACACAATTGTGTTTAAGATTTCACGCATAATCACTGAGTTTCACATGTTTGTTACAAATTATCATTAATGCAAAATATTATGTACTAACCTACCATAGTCTTGGGAGATCAGCTGCAGGATGCAGGTGTGTCTGGTGGTAGTGCTTGTTTTGCTAAGCCTCATTATATCAGAATTACCAAGCAGCCAGTGCAAGGTTAGGATTAATTTTTAAATGGAATACTTAGGCACTTAGTTGAGACTGCGAATTCCAAAATTTCTTTTTTATTTTTACTTATCAAGTACAGTTCATTTTATAGTTCTTTCATTCCTGAGGTTTTAGTTCTAGATTTAAGTTAGGTAGGATGTGCTGAATTATTGTGGTAGGTGTATCACCCATTTAATAGTTCTTTAATTTTTACTAGGCTTGGTGGCACGATGGTTTTAGAGGTAAAGAAAGAGGGTCACTTATTCTTGGGGCAAAAGGGGAACGGGGAAAATACGTGACTCGCAGCGAACGTAGCCTAAAAACTAAGATAGGTTTTTATAGGGAAACCGAACTGTCGAGACCTAGAAACGAAGGCAAAGGTGAAGGACAAGGGTTTGGAAGTAAAAGCAACGTTTTGACACCTGGAAATGCGGTAAAGAGAGAAGAGTTTTATTGGAAAATTTTCAATACTAAAGGAGGACAAGAAGTCGAGTCTAGAAGGTGGAAACCTTGGAAACCGTTAAAGGGACAAATAAAGGTAAGGCCGAAGGCGACCCGGTGAGAAATGTGTAATTATTCTTTTTGCTTCTATTTCTACGAGTTTTTTCTACCCCGAAAGTTAACTGACAGAGAATGCTTTACTAGCATTGCTTTGCGTACTTATTAGGTACTAGCTTTCCGCCCGCGGCTTCGCCCGCGTGGAATTTCGTCTGTCACAGAAAAACTTTATCGCGCGCGTCCCTGTTTCAAAAACCGGGATAAAAACTATCCTATGTTCTTTCCCGGGACTCAAACTATCTTTATGCCAAATTTCATCAAAATCGGTTGCGAGGTTTAAGCGGGAAAGCGTAACAGACAGACAGACAGACAGACAGACAGACAGACAGAGTTACTTTCGCATTTATAATATTAGTTGGGATTAATTCTAAGGTAGGTATTACATTTTAATTAATAACATGTTGGTAACAAACTATTGAATAATTTTACTTTTTTTTCAGAATGATGTGAAGGCCAAGGGAGACTCAAAAGATATGAAATAATATTAGAATAGCCATTAATATTCGCATAATGTGTGTTTTATTTTTAGAAGCAATTCTAAATAACATAGGCTTTCAAAAGTACGATTTCGATTGATATACTGATTGATTGCGGTCAAATACCTGCCTTGTCTAGCATAAAAAAGTCAGGTTTTTTACAGGATCTTTCGTTACCGATATTTACTTACAAATAAAACCCTGAAAATATCTTTGAGAGAACGTTTTAATAATTACTTAGTTAGGTACTATAAGTTTTTCAAAATTTCATTGTCGTAGTCTTCACGCTTTTCTTTAATGCTGAAATGGTTAAAAACATAGTTAAAGTTTGACATTTTATTTCGTAATTCAATGGCTTAAGATTTAATATGATTTTCTTGTAACCTACCTTGATTACGTTTTGGGTCCCGTACAGTTACTCATTAATACTCATATTCTTGCCCCAGACACTGCTGATCATGGTAGTTCAGTAAACATATCACCAGTTTTTTTGGTGTACCGTCGTCTAACTGTGCAAAAATAAAAAAATATTAATTAAAATAAGTCGGGTTTTCCTTCCCGACGCTTAACTCCAGAACGCACGAACCGATATCCACGGTTTTGTATTCATTGGAAAGGTCTCGGGCTCCGTGAGGTTTATAGCCGCGCGATAAAGCTTTTCTGTGACAGACAAAATTGCACGCGGGCGAAGCCGCTGCTGGCGGAAAGCTAGTGCAAATCAAATAAATTATTCTGGAGGCAGGCCGCCACCAACCGGCGATTGTGGAAATCATTGGGGGAGGCCTATGCTCAGCAGTGGACGTCCTATGGCTGAAATGATGATGATGATAAAATTATTCTGTAGAAAATAAGTAAGGAGAATTTCATTGGCATGAGATTACTAAAATAGTTGCTACAGTTTGAATCAAAGGCGTTGTGTAGTAATTTTTTGTGTGCAGTTTTTTTTCTTTTTTTTTCATCTTCGAATCGGTAGTCCAAAAATCCATTCTGTGTTAGCAGGGTAGGTAATCCCTATATTTTATTGCAGATTTTTGTCAAAATATCTACATTAAAAAGCCATATTAAAATTAAATGGCTTACCCCTTTCTTCAGCCTGAAAAAGGCAGTATTCGATAAAACGATTATTATAATAAAATTGAGTAGGTATCTCAGAGGTGCCTCACCAACTTGGGTGTAAAGACACAGACAATAAACAATGTATTTTTATTAATGGCTAAAATAATAAGACAAAAATGTTTTCGGAAACACAAAATAGATTCATAATAAACAATAGCTTACCTACTGCAACGTAAAATAAATCATTAATTTACTTAACGATTTTTTAAAGAACTATAGCAGTTATACAGGGTGTTAGGTAAATGGGTATATGAGCCGACACTAGCCCATGTTAACATGGTCATATAAATGGTATGGTGAAGTCAGAAATTTGATATCATCATATTTATTTTATTTTAATTTTCATACAAAATAAATTTTATAAAATCCGATTTGTATGAAAATTAAACTAATTAGAATGAAGATATCAATTTTCTGACTTCACCATACCACTTATAATATGACCATGTTAACATGGGCTAGTGTCGGCTCATACACCCATTTACCTAACACCCTGTATGGTGTCTAAAGTCTAAAAAAAGAAACCTTTATAAACCTTTAAAGGACTTCTTGGCGGGAATCTGAAGCGTCATGTTAGCGGTTTTGTTTTATTTCCTCAAATTCGTGTTTGGGCGACTATCAATGTGTAATAATGGTGGATTATTAACCATTAAGTGTTCGTGAACGTGCATGAGTGTGGGCGAGTGAAGCAAAACAGTGCATCGTGATTCTTCTGGTTCTCTCAAGTTGTCCATAGGAGGTCTCAGTAAAGCACCACAACTTTACTGAGACTCAAAGGGTGGGAAGGGGTATCATCTATCATCCTTCATTATATCATTACTTGATCTCATTTTGTAACTCGTATCCGTATCACATATATACCTACTTGAAAATGGCACAAATCAAGTCGACCTCGACGTGTATTGCCAACATCATCAAAAAAGAACAACAAAAAAATTGCCTCATACATAATGCGCAATGCGCAGCTACATAATGCGCAATGCGCATACCGATTTGTATTTGTAAAATTTAAAGGAAATTTTTACTACCACTTTTCTACGAAGGAATTGAAAAGGTTCAAGTTAAATAGGCAACATTATATTTACTTAAATTACTTACTATTTGTATGGGTACTGAAACAAAAAAATAAAACCTTGGTTTTAAAATGAAAACGATAATCAAATCTATATCTACTTCTATACTAATATTATAAATTCGAAAGTAACTCTGTCTGTCTGTCTCGCTTTCAAGCTTAAACCACTGAACCAATTTTGATGAAAATATGTAGTTTGAGTCCCGGGGAAGGACATAGGATAGTTTTTATCTCGGTTTTTGAAAAAGGGACGCGCGCGATAAAGTTTTTCTATGACAGATAAAATTCCACGCGGGCGAAGCCGCGGGCGGAAAGCTAGTATTCATAATATACATAACTAGCTTTCCGCCCGCGGCTTTGTCCGCGTAGTTATAAAAACTATCCTATGTCCTTTCCCGGGACACAAACTGTCTCTATGCCAAATTTCATGGTGGTTTATGCGTGAAAGCAAGACAGACATACAGAGTTACTTTCGCATTTATAATATTAGTACAATATACCAAAAGAATGTCATACCGAGCCGCCATACCAGGATGCCCCGTCTTCCCCATCTTCACCGGCCCCTCCGTACCAATAATCCCAGCCACCGCTACCGCCACTGCCACCGCTACCGCCACTGCCACCGCTACCGCCACCGCCCCAGCCGCCACCGCCGCCTCCCCAGCCGCCGCCGCCACCGCCCCAGCCGCCGTCGCCACCGCCCCAGCCGCCGCCGCCACCGCCCCAGCCTCCACTTCCCTAGAAATAAGATAAAAAAAAATCGGCTCTGAGGGCTGAGTGTGTTTAAAACATCAAACGCGCTCACTTCACTAGTGAGAGTAGTGAGCGCGTAAAAAATGACATTAAATGATGACACTAGTATTATTATCTGTTGTATGACGAATTGTAGAGCGCCCCTATCGGAAAGGTTCAAGAACTAAAATTTTCATAATAATAATTNTACATAATAATTTTTTTAAACGCGCTCACTAAGCCCTCTGATGTGTGCGTTCACATTAAAATGTAGCCTATACCTAATACCTGGGCCATAATAATGAATTAATTGACACAATAATGTCAGGGATGGTGATTCACTATGAAATAAAATAGTAAATTTAATGTGTTTTGAATGAGGGCTAAGTATAGTATTTCCCTCATCAGTTAGTGCTACTGTATGGTAACTCGCCAATTTTAATAATTATCATTCTTTGGTAGGTCTAGGTATCACTTACTCCATTTCCGCCTGACCATCCTCCTCCCCCTCCCTAGGACGTTTTATAATTTTTTATTTAAGCTTTGGAAATATTTGTTTTTTGTTTCTAGTGATAATTTAAATCTACGGATTTTGTTAAACTATTGAAAAAATTATAAAGTGATTCTCAGCATTTTTTCCTGGCAGGCTTCGATAGGTCGGTCCCTTAATCAGCAAAAAAAATGTATGCGTTTGGTCTAGAACACCTTGTATGTATATAGGATTCAGTTTACTGTAAATTTTTACTGTATTTAATATGGTCATTTTATCCTACCTCAATCCGCTCTCCTGATCACTTTCTTCTCTCCGTCCGATCCTTTCGTTCCGTTTTTTCTTTCCTTAACCGTTTCCCCGTTTTTACTCAACGAATGGCAACACACAAGCCGTGTAAAGCCAACAAAAGAAAAAAACACCTTGTATAATAAACAGACTAAATTACCCAGTGGTATTACTTACCCCGTTTCCGCCCGGCTGTCCTGCTTCCTAGGAATTGTATTATTTATAATAAACTAGCTGACCCGGCGAACTTCGTACCGCCTTAGCGTAGAGATTTTCTTAATATTTTTTTCCGTAAGAACCATCCTTGGACTTCCACAAACATTTAAAAAAAAGAATTATCGAAATCGGTTCAGCCGTTCACACGTGATGCCGTGACAACGCGAAACGGGTTTCATTTTTATATATATAGATTTATGTAAATAATTTATTATTATTTATGCTCGTTCACGTACTCGTAAGACAGACCAATGTAATTCATAAAATTTTTGTCATGGCATTTATGAATTTTCTATTTCTATAGTATAAAATCAATCCAATCCAATCCAATCGATCAACATGGAAAGCTTTGGGGGAGGCCTATGTTCAGCAGTGGACGTCCTATGGCTGAAATGATGATGATGATGATGATGATTATTGATGATGATAGTATAAAAATTAAATGAATAAGTGATACGTGTTAATAATAATTATATTTTCCCTTTGTTGGTATTACTTACCCCTTTTCCGCCAAACCATCCTCCTCCTCCCCCTCCCCCTCCTCCTCCGCCACCTCCGCCTCCTCCTCCCTAAGACATTATTATTATATATGTTACGGTCAAAGTGATAAATGTGAAAATTATGAATAATCGCCGGTTATTATGAATAATTACCGCATGATTTGGTAAATGTGATTAATATGAGGTCATTTATGTGTGTATAAAACTAAATAGGCGGCTTAGGGGTGGCCCCAGAGACGGGGCAAGACCTAAATTTGATGTGGGCAAGACAGATTTCGCGAGGCCTTGTTCTGTGGCGACTGGCGACCTGAAGACGGATTTTATGAAATAATAAAAAAAAGGGTCAAAGGTCTACGTACATTGACAGTTTCTGATTTCTTGATTCAGTGATTATTTTTATTTATTTATTTATTTATTTATTTATTCATTTGCAATAACATATTCAGCACATACAGGTATACATGCATTCATACATTGACCCTGTAAGGGTGTAGCAAAGTTACATNAAAAAAAGAAGAAGAAGAAGAAATTTCAATTTTTCTTTCAATATTTATATGTATCTAGCTTTCCGACAGCGGCTTCGCCCGCGTGAATTTTGTCTGTCACAGAAAAACAATATCGCGCGCGTATTTGATCACCGTGTAGACCTACCCTGGACTACGACAAACATTTTAAAACCAAAATCTGCTCAATTGGCCCAGCCGTTCTCGAGTTTTAATCAGACTAACGAACATCAATTCATTTTTATTTATATAGATAGATTACCTGTAGAAAGGGCCCAGCAGCCCGGTGAATGGCTCCATCGACACCCCCACCAGCAATGAGGCGGGAATTGGCTGCGTTTACAATTGCATCAATCTGTAAAGCAGAGATAAACTTGTTATTCCTTGGCAGGGTTCGAGGATATATATCAAGGGATATATATCAAGATATATATCGGATATATATCCGATATATATCAAGCCGGTTTTGATGATATATATCAACTTTTAAAATTTGTTACTGTATTTGTACTTTTTGACATAAGATTTTTATTTTTTTAGTTGATTTTGCCGTATTTCAAAGAAATTTTATGTTTTTGCTTTATTTGTCTGATTTTAAGTTTTAAGAACATTAAAAACATGTTTATGTAACACATATGCAATAGTATTCATGAATAATACAATAAAATAATACTATGGCTTTCATACAAAATTGATATATACATCACAAAGAGGTACATACATAACCGTCCTGGCCCTTGCAATAGCCGCCGCCGCCACCGCCGCCGCCACCGCCACCGCTCCAGCTGCCGCTACTCCCGCTGCAACCGCTTCCACTACCTCCCTTTCCCATAAAAAGAAGTTTTTTTATCTCATAGTTACAAACTGAACCTAACTATATTATTTAACAAATACTTAAGCGTAATAAAATGTAGGTACTAAGTTTTTCTTTCATAAAATTCTTGTAGAAAAATATTTAAAATTATATTATATTTATTAAAATTTTAAGCATATACATAACTGATTAGGTGATACGCGTTAATAATATATTTCCCCTTGTAGGTATTACTTACCCCTGGTGCGCCTGGCCGTCCTCCTGCTCCCTAGAAAATTTTGTTATT